AGATTCTGCAAAATAATTTATTACCGAAAAATATTATATTTTTATTTGTATCTTCATAATTTTGTGCAAAATACACTTGTTGTTTTTAAAGCTAAATTATTTTTGTCAACAAATTTTTTTCTCCCAAGTTTTTCGTAGGCCCTAGGCACGTGCCTAGTGTGCCTATAGGTTAATCCGGCCCTGCAAGTATGTTTAAATATAAAATTATTGCATACAAACTCGTGCAAAACACGTAATTATTAAAAAACTACAGTGGGTGTAATAATTTGGTCTAATTATTATAATATACTAATATAATAAATATTCTATGTTTATATAATATATCGTCTAATTTATTCAATCGCGTAAAAACAATAAAGCTGTATAAAGTAAGACCTGATAATTAAGATTTTACATAGAATCGTACAGCGGGTCGAATAGTTTGGCCAGGGACTGTATTTGTTGCCTAGCGTTCTCTAATAAAATAGGTTTAATTACTTAAAGAAGAAAGAAAAATCGTAAAGTTGGTTTATTATAAACATTTGTTTTTTAGCTGCGAACACAGCATTTTTAGTAAGAAAATTTATTAAAACGTAACTGTTAATTATAGTACTGAATTAATTAATAATAACTAAATTAACTGTAAATATGATAACAATATGCGTGTTAAAAAAATAAATTTACGGCAATTAACTTCGCTGTAAGTAAAAGTTAATGGTTAAAAGTGTTTGACAGAAGAAATTTGATTTAAAGAAAATTTGACAAAGCCGTTGTTAAGAGTAACAGTAAACAATGATGCGCATGCGCGAGTTTACTCTTACATAGTGGGACAATTGAATTCAAGAGTAAACTCGCCAAAAATATCTATGCATAATGAACTTAAAGTTAAAAAAGAATTCTGATAATTATCAAACAGCAGCTGTCACCATACCAAAGCGCACAATGACAACGCATGCGCACTGTTACTCTTGAACAGCCGTGAAAGAAGAGAACAGAAGAAACAAATTTAAGAAAATTAAATTTTTGTGTATGATATTAATTACTTGTTTAAAATTCAGGTTGATTTTTTTTCTAAAAAAAGTGCATTGTTTTAAATCAACTGTTGTTTTTGAAAGCATTAATGCACTGGGTCGAAAATATTTTTTATGCAATATAATTTATGAGCATATTTTTAAGGTTATGATTTTTTTTAAAAATTTTATTTCATGGATGATGAAGGTTTTATCTGAGAAATAATGAAAGTGTATTATATGCATAGTATTGTTTTATTTTCCAAATAAAGTAATGAATAAAAAAAGAGATTAAAAGTGGGTAAAAGTGACGTGCTGTAATTTTAAAACTCAAACGTCAATTTTAACGTAAAACAACATGCTGTTCAAGGAACACGTTTCACTGTAGTTTTAAAACTTCCCTTATTTTAAACCCCGCTGTAGAATCGCAGCGACACGGCGACATTGTCGCAGAACGTTACAGAGTTCTTGCAAAAAGATTTTTCTTTTGAAAAGTAAAAAAAAAAAAAAAAAATACTTTTTTGAAGCGTTTAATTTACGACGATAGAATCGTAAATCAATGTAATGTTTCGATTGTATTTTCGGCAGTTATTGATATTGATTTTCACGTGGATTTTAAATATCCCGATGTATTTCACACAATGTGGAAAATTCAAATCGCGCATTTGAGTATTTACTCTTTACGGCAATAATTCTATCGAATTTTTGGCAGATATTGCTTTTGATTTCTCCATAGTTTTTAAATTCGATATTTTTTATGCGATACTATTTATACAACGTAATCTCGAAAGGAAACACGTAATTGAGGAGCATGATTCGCGTGATTTCGTCGTTGATCTTTTTTTCGGCAATTTTCTACTACGGATTTCATGATTTTTAATTATATTTTTTACTGTGATAATTATTTACAAAATGCGAAGAAGGAAATAATTTGTGTGTTCCTTCCCACAAAATGTTATTACACCCATGATATTAGAATAAAAAAATATTACATGTTTTATTAAAAAAAAAATTATATAGTTTTTTTTTGTAAACGCAGCGCTATCGTCATTTTAAATTTGTAACAGCTATGTTTGTTAGTATTAAAAGTATCTTACAGAAAGGTATTAGTGCTAGAGAGTTTTGTCGCAGATAGCTAGAAAAAATTATTCCACAGGGGATTTTAAAATTATTTAATTTCAAGTGCTTTTAAAACTTATTAAATATATTGTTAGTGTACAATTGCGCAAAAAAAGAAAGCAAAAATAAAACGGACCACCCTAATTAATTTTTTATTAAATGATCGGATCTTCACATTCCAGGACTCAATCTTAGGGGTTCGAGGGGGTGACCTCAAATATGCTATTTAATTCAGACGATATTGTAAGTTACGAAATCAGAAACAAAAAATTACTTTCTCTGTTTAAACATGTCTTTTTTCCCCAACAGATTAAGAGTTCTGACCCCCAAAATATAGGGGGTAGCAGCAATTTGAAAAATTTGGTTCCAATAGTTTAGTCAGATGAGCACTCCAAAGTTTGGACCCCTTAATGTAAATTTTACTTTTTGTGTATTTCACCATATCTAAAGAAGTTTAAAAACTAATTGAAAACTTTTTACACACAATTATAAAATTCATTTATCTAAGTATAATTCTATGCAAAAAATAACTTTTAATAAATTGTATTACTTTATTTAATATTAGGTGAAAATTTTTGAATTGAAAGGTAAACATCATTTTAAAGAATATAATTTTACATAGCAAATTACAAACTTAGAATGAAATTGGTCTAATAGTTCCTGAAAAATCAAATTTTTAAAATACGATTTTTTGAAAATTGGATTTCTCAGGAACTATTAGACCGATTTTACTTAAATTTTGTATTTTACCAGGTAAAATTATATTCTTTAAAACAATGTAAAACATTATATACCTTACGATTCAAAACTTTTTCGGCTAATATTAAATAAAAAATATTACAAAATGGTAAATATCTACTAAAAATTATATTTTGCATGGGATTATCTTTGAATAAATGAATTTATAATTGTGTCCAAATTTTTTTCAATTCGTTTTAGAAGTTCTCGATACAAAGCGAAATACGCAAAAAGTAAAAAAAAAAAACATTAAGGGGTCCAAACTCTAAAACGGCCCTCGCGGCGAAAATATTGGGACCATATTTCCTAGATTGCGGTCTCCCCCTATATTTTGAGGGTTAGAAATTTGAATCCATCATAAAAAGGTATGTTTATTCAGAGAAAGTACGTTTTTGTGTCTGCACTATTTAATTAGCATATTTGATGTCACCCCCCCCCGAATCATTAAGAATGGGTCCGAGAATGTAAAGAACCAATAACTAGATCAGATATTATTCAGTGTGTCCGCTTTTTTATTTTGTGCACTGTATGTAAATACTAGTAACGTTTAATAACAATAGACGAGGATATTGAGATTAACATTACTATGTTTTTCTTAAAATTTTATTCAGTGGTTAGGATTGTAGAGACCATCAAAATAGCCATACAGCATATTCCATCATATTTTGACGGCTGTTGTTGGTCCAACAATAAAAAACGTAACTTATTGGTTGACCGTCATAATGGTAAAACAACATCAGCCATCAAAATATGATAGTTCATATTGGTTCATCAAAAATCAAACATTGCTTGATGGTTTACCATCGTAACACAAAACCAATATTTTCCATTTTGTAATAATGGAAATTTGTTGGGCCATCAAAAATAGATAGAAATTTGTTGTATGATGGTGACCATCAAAAATCTTACTGAAACCAACATGATGGCACAAATCAAAATATGATGGTTCATATTAGTCCATCACAAATCAAACATTGCTTGATGGTTTACCACCATAACACAAAAATAAAGACTTCTAAAGATTCAAATTATATTTCAACAAGGAATCTTACCTTGTTTCGGGTCCAATCTATCAGTCTTCCTTCACACAGTATTCTCTTCCGCGTATTTGTGGTTGTAGATAACTAAATCAATACCTATACTGAAAAATACTTTGAACAAAGACATTTAAGAATTATATTAAATAACAATAAAATAAACTGGAAAGCTATTTACAGATGAAAAAAGTTGTAAGTTGTTCTCAACAAATTCTAGGCTACACCACACTGGAGGAGAAAAAGTTCTTAAGTGAATGTTTCAATATTTGTCCGTTAAGGGGTATCAGGGAATTTTCAACAATGGTTATGTCTCTATAGATGCATGGAGAATAGACAAAACAAATAATCATTCAGTTTAAAATGAAGAGTCTTGATTATTCCAAAATGAAATATTTACTTGATAGGTGATAGGGGTGTGTGGTATTATCTGCATAAGTAATGGAAATTATTGCGGCCACTGGGATATGTACAGATTCTACAACTTTGTGGTGACGACTACTCTCATTCTGGCAGTCATTTTCATCATCTTTTATCTCTTCAGAATAGACAAAGCCATCACTTTCATCAACTGCTTCATGTGTGTAAGTCTCTCTTTTATTTCTTGCAACAGTTCAAACTGTGTCTCGAGACCTTTGATTCATACTCACTTTCGAAAACACGGTGTCGACGGTCCCTGGTCAAATTATTAAACGCACTATAAAAAGAAAAGCAAGGCTTGCTAGCGGTCTCATCTTGGTCACTTGATGTGACCGCTAGCAAGCCTTGATAGAACAGTCCGGGTACGTCTGTCACACGGGAAGTCAAGGGACCAACCCGGTTTTGATCCCTTGTACCAATTATGGGTTGAGGGTGTTTTCCACTCCTCCGAGATTTTTGATTTTTCCAGAGAGCATAACTCCAAAAAAGTAAGTGTGGAAGAGGGAGTTGTTGCAATCCTGCAACCCTCCTTAGCAAGAATATCATTCCCGTGGAGATTCACATGGGACGGTACCCATTGCAAATGAGCATCGTGATTAAGTGAAATGAGCTTTAATTTAAGCAGGATAAGGGTGTTGATCCTGTCGCCCACAAGAGGCCAATTACTAAGATGGTGGAGAGAACTACGGCTGTCAGACCAACACCTCCTAGAAAAGAGTAGGCCTCTGCACGGGTTACCATAAATATCCTTTAGTAGTCCAAACGTAATGACATACGCCGTATTTTCAACCACTGCGCAGCTTAGTACCCCGAACGTAATGACATCTTTCTTATTTTTCATCAACTGCGCAGTTAACTTCGTCACATCGGACCACTAAATTGATCCGTGCTGAGGCCTTCATACTTCTAGGAGGTGTTGGTCAGACAAGATCCATAGGTCACCATAATCCTCTTCGGATAGAATAGCTTCTGGTCCCAGGTCTATTGTAATCAATTCACTTCTGAAGACAGAGCAGTGATTAGGATTACGTTGAGAAAGAGTCAAATTAGCTCGAGGCGTTTCGATATAAATGCCACTGCCAGCAAGATTGTCAATTTTACTACCGCCAGTAAAAAATTTAATGGCATTGTTAGGATTGTGGCTCAAGTTTTCCAAGGTCAGTTGTCTAAGATTGTTGTCAACTGCTAATTATCAGGTGATACTAAACAGCTTTATTGTTTTTACGCATCTCAAACCGTTTTGCACTTATTTACGTTCGTATATCAATCGGTTAAATTAGACGATTTATAATATAAATTCAACGATTGGATAAATTACACGATACATTACATATATATAGACTATTCATTAGTGTCTAGTAATTGCATGTTTTGCACAAATTTATATGCAATACTTTTATATTTAAACATATGGGTTTTTATTCAGGAGATTTTTCATATACTTCCCATTAGTATTTATTTTTAACGTATGGCACTACAATGTTAACCAATTGATACGCGAACGTAAACAAGTGCAAACCGCGTAAAAGCAATAAAGCTGTATAGTTATCACCTGATAATTAAGATTTTACATAGAATCTTATAGTGCGTTTAATAATTTGACTGTAAAGACATTATAAAGTGTTCTCATGTAAGAAAACCGATGAAAATTACCTTCAGAGAAAATACCAAAATATCGCGCATATTGAAAAGAACCGTTCATAAATTAAATATTTCAAAATTAAACTACAAAATAAAGAATGGGAAATTGGTTAGATAAAAATGTTATTATAAGCTTTTCTTTATAACAATTTAAGCGTAAGAAATAATTCTTCGATCATTAGAACAAAGAAATACTTTTAGTAAAAGTGAGATATTAGTAAATGTTACCGCAAAATAACTCGGGCCCTTATTAAGCTAAAATTCATGAATCTTGGCTCAATAAGTTTTTCGAAAAAGTCAGGACGCTATTTGGAACAGTAGACATATGACAGAGTACTTTTAAGAAAGACAAACGATAAAGTAAATAAAGAGAGTATAATTCGTTCTACTTAAGCATAGTAAAGACAAATTTTAATGCAAAAGAATAATAATTTTTTTTTTTTAAATTTTAGAATTACTTTATTTAGAACAGAATGTTTTAACACTTTTTATAAATAGACCACTAAAAAATAATTCATAGTTTGAAATCAATGTTCATAGAAAATGTTTATAGTTTTGTATTAAAAAATAGCGGTATCAACTAGTTAATATTTAGACTAGTCAAAATTTATCTAAATTTGTAAATGATTGGAATTTATAATTTTTTTAACATCGGGTGGATAATTTCTTTGAAAATACAAAACACTCTACAATATTTGTTACTGCATTAACAGAGAATAATAAATAAGCGTATGCCCCCTGAATTCATCACCATGAAAATTTGACAATACTATAATAGTTAAATGGGCTCCTCTAAAATTTCCAAAAGGTTTAACGAATTCTGCGTGTACAATGTGCAAAAAAAACATAGAAGAAAAACGGACCACCCGGAACAATTTATCTAATGATCGGATCTTCACGTTCTAGGACACAATCTGAATAGCTCGAGGGGATAACGTCAAATATGGTAATTTATAAGTGCAGAGGATATTTTAAGTTTTGAAATCGGCCACAAAAATGCACTTTCTCTGAATAAACATATACCTTTTTTTTCGACGGCTTCGTATTTCTGACATCCAAAATGTAGAGGGTAGCCGCAATCTGGGATACATAGTCCCCACAGGAGAGCTCTCCTAAGTTTGGGCCCTTAATGTTAATCTTTACGTATTCTGTTATATCTCGAGAACTTTTTAAGCGAATTGAAAACGAATTTTGCACACTGTTGTAAGATAATTCTCAGCAAAAAATAACTTTTAAGAAATATTCATTATTTTATTTATAATGGTCAAAAAGAATTTCGAATTGTAAGGTAAGTAAAATATTACATCATTTTAAAGTGGGTAGTCTTACATGGCAAAATACAAAATTTGAGCAAAATCGGTCGAATAGTTCCTGAGAAATCGAATTTTAAATATCTAACTCTTTTGAAATTCAATTTCTCCGGATCTATTCGACCGATTTTGCTCAAATTTTGTATTTTGCCATTTAAAATTATGTTTTTTAAAGTGATGCAAAAAATTGCGCACCTCATATTTCAAAATTTTTTCGACCATCATTAAATAAAATAATTACTAAAAGTCACTTTTTTTTCGAGGAATTATCATGGGGTAAACAAATTTTATAACTGTGAGCAAAAATTTTTCAATTCATTTAAAAATTCTCGAGACATGAAGAAACACGCAAGAGGTAAAATTAACATCAAGAGGTTCAAACTTCGGAGCCCTCTTCTGACAAAGCTATGGGGACCATATTTTGGGGGTCAGAAATCTGAAACCATCGAAAATGTGTGTTTATTTAGAGAAAAAAAAAATCGTCTGCACTAACTAATTAGCATATTTGAGGTCCCCTTTCGAGCCATTAAGATAGAGTTCTAGAACGTGAAGATCCGATCATTAGTTATTCAGATCTCTGTTTTTTTTGGCAACTCTTTACATCTATTTGAATTATGAATATAATTAGTGGACGGTCTCTAAAGTTGAATAATGGAATTTCGCGATTTTAACTAGCATTGATAATTAAAAAGATTTTAAACCGAAAATCCAAATCTTTTGAGTCTTCAAATCAACTATCCGCATTTGTATTCGCAGAAAATGGAATAATATGTGTAGATGATGCGCAAAAACTAGGATATAAAGCTAAAAATTTGGAACAGAATATTTTTCATCAAGAGAATCAAAAATATCAGGACAACTACTATACTACTAAAGCAGAAACAGTTCAAAATGGGATATCTTATTAGGTACGATAATACAAGCGGTAAAAACTTTAACAGACGATGATTTCTTGAAAAGTTTAAAATCCCCACCAATAAAAATGTTTTGTGCAAAATAAAACAGGATTTATTTCAGGTGTTCGTCAATGATGTTCTGTTTACTGTTCTGTACCTTGTAGCCACCATATTGATAATCATCACAATCGGGACCTGTAGAGCTGGACAAGTGGCCAGAATTTTTGCTACGGTGAGTATCTTCTAATGCAACAGGGTAGAATTATTTATTGAAACATAGGAAAGTCTTAGTAGCTCGGAATATATACACACACAAGAAAATATAATAATTTATAAATATACACGAAAATAATAAAATAAAATAGAAAAACTTTTAATGGGAAAACGTAAAGGTTTTCATCAGGACACATCCTTTACGATAAATGCGATATTTCTGAATGCTGAATAATTATCCTCGCATCGAAATTTTTTTAAAAATATGAGACTGAAGAGAGATTAAATTGTTTCCAATTTAAACTGTTATATAATATAGGTTATTGTTATATATTGTTAACAAGTAAAATTATTTCTCTTGCATTTCTTCGCCTTGTGTAGATTTTTCGTAGTTTTTTTTTCTTTTTTCGAAGGTGATTATTTTTCATATCCAAATAATCGTTCATTTTGTTGAGATTAACATGCTAACAAAATTTTCTTTCATAAGCTAATAATTATTATACATTTTATATATGAAAAGAAACAAATGTTTTTTTAAAAATATCGACTTGAAAAATAATAAACTTAGATGAATGAGCGGCGGGAAGTTAGTGAGCGGAGCAAGGAGACAGACACTCCTAGTAAATTAAAATAATGCAAAATTTATGACTGCAAGCAAAGTGTTGAGAAATATTCATAATAATTAAAAAAAAATATTGTGCATAAACTAAATAAAATATAATTACGAAAAGAAGAAAATTGTGATTATACAATCACTGGTTACCCATTGGTCAAATGTTGCTTTTTCTTCCTTAACAGACTTTCATAAACAAAAATTGTCATTGGTTGCAAAAGCTGCATCAATTGATTTGCCCTCTTATCTCTAAACAAATCTACTAAAAGAAATTCCAAAATTATCATCTGCTTTTTTAAAAATTTTATTTGATTTTTTATTAATGCTTATGTTAGCCTGATTTTTAATGAATTATGCAATTATATTTTTCAGATTATGGTTTTGAATTTGATCAAAGTTGTCCAGTTAGTTTTAAAGTTTTAATTTAAGACAATATTTAAAAAAGAATTCTAAAAAAATTATCAAACAGCAGCGGTAGCCATAGTAACGCATGCACATTGTTTACTATTACTCTTCAACACAGTTGAAAAGTGTGATGACGTCCAAATAAGGTGCGCATGCCATCAAACCCAAAACAACACCCATTTTCCAATGGGTGATAACTACTAACTACAATTATAATCTTAAAACATAATACTTGTATTTTGTTTAATTGAAATCGTTGAGTTCGAATTGTAACAAGTTCAAAAAATGCCATTAAATGGTTTTTTAAGACAGACTTAAACGTATATAAAAGTGATAATCATAAAATTTTGTAAAATTATTCACAAACTATATAAATTTCTAAAATTTTTATATTAAAAAGTAGTTTTTTCTAGTTCAAAAAATAAGAAAACTTTCCGCAGACAAACTCATTTTATTATTACACACAGATAAATTGGAATTAATTATCGGTATCAATATCGATAAAAAACAAACTGGCTACTTTTTTCTAAAAATAAAAAATTCACTTTTTAATAAAAATTGAATTACAAATACTATGAAATATTGTTGACAAATAAAAATTGTGCATTTCTTTGTAAATCTTCACCGATTACTAACTTTCAGATTTAAACATTTTATTGAATTTCTTTTTAATTCTAGTAAGTGTTCTTTATTATTTCAGCTTTTTGGAATTTTGGGCACAATTGATGTCGGACTGTTGGCACTCTTTGGCTATAAAGTTTTCAAATCAGAAACAGCCCCCAAATCAGATGGAGTTTGATGAATGTTACAAGACTTTTATTTTGTGAAAATTTATTTAATGTGTTTTTAACTAAAAAATTGATTACTTTTTATTTGTAAAATGCAACTCATTTGTTTTAAATTCGTTGTTTTCTTTAAAGAAATACATTATGAAAAAAGTTTTTTTTTTGTCAATTTGAAAAGAGTGACATAATTAAAATTAGATTTTAACAAAATCTCGAATAACAAAATTCATTCCTATAATTCACCCATAACAGAGTTGCAAGAAAATAAATTCCACCTGCATCGAATAAGACAATATTCCTGCTTAAACAAAAAATAAGCATTCAATAAAATATTCTTAAACTCGTTATTTCTTTAAAAAAAAGAAGATATTTCCCTATCGTGATCTGTCGCGCCAACTACAATCGCCAAGTTGCCAAATAGATTTTATACTTTCATTAAAAAAAAAAAATAAAAAAAATACATGTAATTGTTTGACAGGGGGTGGGTTAAACCTTACGAGTAGTTGGTCCCTTTCTGCGATGTTTTTTTGTTATAGTTTCTCGTGGGCCACTGCCCGGAAGTTTTCAAGACTTGGCGATTANGACTTACTTGTACAAGCATTCAGAGTTGGTGGTTGTAAAGTAAACACTTTACTAAATTTCTAACATTTTTATGTTCGATTTAAGTTAAGAGCGTTTTTAATTAAAATAACACATTATATTATAACAATAATTGAAGAAATAAATTAAAAAAAAATACATACAAAAAAAAGAATAGATAAGGATGTCTCCTATATACAAATTCACATTTACAGGGTGCATAGCCAAATTTTTCCACAAAAAATAAGCACCTTTCTAGTACTTTTTAAGTTCTCAAAAAATATTTTTAAGCAGTCAAAAAGTATTTTTAAGCACTACATAAATGAACAAAATGCAAAATAAGTTTCAAAGACGTTACACGAATAACCAGTTTCTAACAAAGAACTCTTTTCTTGATTACATTAGCCATTATAAAAAAAGATAAAGAGGTTTTTCGGTTCGATATCAGAGGGTGGAAAATGAAGCCTGAAATTGAGAATATCTTGCACAAAATGCAGCAGCATTGCACATGAGAGAGCAAGAATCTCACCGAATCCAGCTCAGCAGACTCGCCAGTATTACATCAAACAGGTAAAATGATTGGCGCTTTCATACACTACTATAGACACCGAAATAGATTGTGGTTGAATGAATAGTGAAAACGTTGAATAGAACAATGTGAAAAGCCCGCTTTTGCATAATTCCCGGCGAAAATCGCCATGGTAAAGAAAAAATCTTATTTTTGAAAAGGGAAAATTAAGCAATTTTTAAAAACACCCCATTAAAAAAGCACCTTTACGGACATTTAAAAAAATAAAATCGAAAATAAGCACCCTTAAGCACTTTTTAAAAACGCTATGCTCCATGTTAAATTCTAATCAGAACACATTTTTAAAGTTTAAAAATACAACAGAATTCTATATAGATATATAATAATAAAACTATGCATGAATTTACCATCAAATAAACAAGTACAGTAGAGAACCGCGATTATCCGGAACGATCGGGACCATCACTATTCCGGATAACTGATTTTTCCGGTTTTCTGAATCGCTACAAAAAGCCGTTTTTTTTATTGTTAAACCCAACTTAAAAAAATTATATTTGGAAATAATTTTAAAAAAAAGAAAAAACGAAGTAATACACTAATGATTATTTCCAAAATGATAGTAAGGTAAACATCTTTCCAAAAAGAAAGAAAAATCCTAAAATCTTATGAAGAAAAAAAAAAAAAATTTTTTAAAAAATGGCGGGAAAATTTATCGAACTTCGTTCCGGTTTTTTGGTTTTCCGATTTCCGGATAACGGGTTCTGTACTGTAATATAAAAAACTTTTTTTTTGAGGTCAATTCCTAATTGTGTCAGCAAAGAAAAATTCTATTTTAGCTACTTTTTATTGATTAATTACAATTTTTTCTCCTATATGAAACTATAATTAATTAATGAATTAATTTTTGAAAAAAACTGTATTAACATCAAGTGTCATAAACTACAAATGTAAAAAAAAAATGTATTTGAAGTTGAGTGTATGAATAAAAAGTATTTTATTAACAATTGAAAATTTGAACAAGATATACAGGGAGAGTGTCAACTAATAGTAGGAATTGAAAAAAAAGCAACTGTTAGATATAGGTACTAAATTATAAAACACTGAAATTTTTTACTTCATTATAAAATTAAATGGATCACTTGGAGTAATTGTCCAAGACTTTGATTTTGACCATTTTGCTTTTTAATAGCTCAAAGTCATTGTTTAAATAGCTCACAGTATTTCATATTTCAGTTTATATTCGTTTGCTTATTTATAAGGAGAGAAGATTACGTTTCAAAATAGTTTGTTGGGAAGAGGGGAAAAGATTTTTTTACTTACTTTATTCCTTGTTTCCAACAAATCATTTTTTAAAAATTTTTTTTTTTTAAAACTTGCTTAAGTAGAAGAAAAAATTATCGTAGATCAGTTGCAAACTACGAAATTTCATAACTGTCAATAGTCAAGGAAGAAAAACTTAAATCTGATAACAGAAATTCTCAAAAACCGTAATTATTTATTACTCAACCTTAATCTTGAAAAACCGTAATAGTTCGAAACTTTGTAGCATAACTCAAGCAAAAGGTTGAGATAATTTTAATTAAAACAATAACAAATATTTAACAGAAGAAAATTGAATACTCATATTAATGAAGCGAAGCGTAAACAATTAATAAAGTAGAAAAAAAAAATGGAAAAGAATTGTAGTTTTTAAGCCTCATTGTTAAGAATTCTAAAATATTCATCAATAAAGAAGAATTTTCTGTGGTTACTAATATGTAAAAGTCACTTTTCTTCAGTAAACAACTGTGAAATCTTATTTTAAATAATAATCTTGTGTAAAAAATGTTTATTTTAATAAAAAATAGATTTCTGGATTTCTTTTTTGAATCGAGCAAAAAGTTTTAAAATTTTTTTATATTTATTCTACTGCTAATTTTTGATGCTTCAAATTTTTATCTCCCTTTTCAAGTTTATCTGTAACAGAAATAGACTTATATGCACAATCAAATAAATATGATCAATGTTACAGTTAAGAACTAATTCATCATTATTGCAACTTCAAAATCATTAAAGATGAATACCAAAAGCATAAACTATAGCTAAAAAATTTAAGTGTACGGAATATTTCAGAAGATGACCAACTGTCTTGTCCTTTTTTGAATTAGTATAAATATATCCTTATGATGAAAATTCCAGGTTCCCACTCTTTTAAAAAAGCAAAAATTAAGCACTTTTAAGGACTTCTTTTTTGAAAAAATTAAATACTTTTTTGAAAAATTAAGGACTTTAAATATAGTATGACTGTTTATCATCGAATATACATGTCACCAGTGACAGTGCCAATTATTTACCTTTCTAAAAAATTCAATCAATAATAAAAAACAATTTTATTATAATGTAAGCACTCATATTACTGTATTAATTAACAAGGCTCGCCAATGAAGTACCAGGCAACTTCTGCAAACCCGGGTCGAGTTTTTTTTAAAAAACATTTTCAGATTGTTAAAAGTTAACGTCATCTATGAAACTAATCTGTATTAAATTTTTAATGATTTCATCGAAATTGAATAGTAAAATTAAGTGCAGAAATTAAGATTTGAAATTTTTTTTTCATATATATTGAAAAAAAAAGAGTAAATAATGAAATTAAAACTATAATATAGTGATGCTGAAAAATGAAGAACTTTTAAAAACCTTGTACCAAAATTAAGTACTTTTAAGGGTCCTTATTTTCCAAAATAAAAATTAAGCAGTTTTTAAGGACCGTGGGAACCCTGGAGATAATTATTTTCACTATTAAAAGCATTTTAAAATTCGAACCACATGTTTTTCCAAAACTGTAATTACTACTTTCTAACATGGCAGAATCAGTTTTTATTGCTCAAACTGACTTACTTGTACAAGCATTCAGAGTTGGTGGTTGTAAAGTAAACACTTTCCGTATTAAAATATAGTTTTATTTCAGTCCAAAACAATCAAACTTTACACAAGTGATGTTCAATGCAATAATTTCCATACAAAATAAAAACAATAAATACGTTTATATCAAAATGCAATTTCAAATGTAACATAATTTATAACAGTGTTTACTTATAATTTAACAACTTCTCTTAAAACTATTTACAAATGACAGTAACAATCTCTATAGAATTGATTTAACATTATAGAATTCATTATGAGTAAAAGCACTTTTTAAACCATCAGTTAAAATAATTCAATTTTTTAAAAATATATCCTTTTATAATGAGATATTTTTAAAAAGAATTCTTATCTAGAGTTTTGATTACTTATTTTCCCTCTGTATTGAAACACATTATTAAAAAAAATGGTGTGCTTTAGTACAGAAAATTGGATTTAATAAGGGTCTTGCAATGGAGAGTTATATATAATATAATTTTATAAACAAATAAGAATGAATCAAACATAGTTTTTTTTTTAAAATTATGACTTAGTTCTTTTACTTTTGGCAACATGTAAATACGTAATACATTTAAACTAATATTACACAAACTCCCATTTAACAAAGCACAGTTCATTAGAGCTAACATTGACTAAAATCGAAAACTGGAAACTTGAATATCATAGTTTCTAAGTAATTATTTCGTTAAATATCTGTCCTTTGAGTTTAAAAGTAAAATAACTAAAATACATAAAAACCAAACACAAAGAAAGAGAAGAAAATTATAAATGCAAACTTATAAAAAGTAAATTCAAGAGTAGGAAAATAAACAGAAATAAGATTTAAGTAATTTATATCTCAATGACAAAGATAGTAAAATAAATAAAGAACACAAACACATAAGAATAGGAATGCTTGCCACCTTTGTGTGCAGAGCTGCCAAAAGAAATTATGGGAATTCAAATTTTACAGTGATTCACAGAGCAAGCTTTGACATAAATCGTAATTTTTAATTATTCCACCTTTTTTTTTTTACGACTCACCGGCGTTTCAAATCTACAACTTGTTGGTCTACAGGACCACATGAGGCTTTTTAACAATCACTATGAAAGACAATAACAAATTATGAATAAAAGATATTTTCATTAAAAGGTAAGAGGCTCATACTTTATGAAAATTAATTGCTTTAGATCATTAAAATACATTAAATTTTACAAGTGAATTAAAGTTATTTTTTAAGTTTAAAAGTAAAGTTTCTTTAACAATTTATATCAATGAACACAATGGGATATAATCTATTGAAAGGAAATAAAACAGCAATTCAATCGTCGATAAAAATTTCGACATTTTATAGTAACAATAAAGAAACAATGGTTTAAGGCACCGAAATATTATGGGGTTCGATTCCCGACCGCGAATTGAAGTCTACCCAGATTCAGATTGATGGCTTGTCTTGGGTGTAAAGGCACTATAATGCTTTTGATTATAAAATTGCAAAACCTTAACCTCCAAGAACCTGGAGGTTGCAGGGATGCTTCACTATATTGGTCGTACATTACAATTTCCAAATCTAATAATGTTCTAATATATACAGTGCTTAAATTTGCAGCTATCAAATGTGCTTGCAGGTAGCTCAATACAGGGTTGCCACAGAAAAAAAATTAACAAAATAGTTGCTTTTAGTAGCTCAAAGCATGAAAAAAGTTGTCAAAATAAGAACAAATATTTTTAAAAAATATGACTAAAATTTATTAAATGACTTAATTGGGATATACCATGATCCATTTAGTCAAGTGGATGGCAAATATGATAATTTTTATATAAATGCTAGCGTTCTAGCACTAGATTACTATATAAAAAAAAACATAGTATATTTGCAAAAAAAAAAATACTTTTCCTAAAAATTTTTCCCTCTTATCAATAATTAATTTAGCAAATATATATATATATATTGTGAATAGTGATTACTCAAATTCAAAATTCACACATTGTAATATTGTATTAAAAATTGTGTTTTTTAAAAAACCATGTGGAGTTTGGTAGCAATAACCATTGAAAAGACGATCAAGGAACGAAATTTACTTACAATGTAATCTGTGCAAATTGAACGAATTAAAATGTGATGACCCAAATTTGCAATTAAAAAATTTCATCAATTTTTATTTTTTAATAAAATTCACTGTGTCCAGAAGCTCTCGGGGGTTATCAACGCAATTCATGCTGCATTTCCTAAAAATAGTTGCTTTTTTAGCCTTTTCAGGTAAAAAAAAATGCCATAGTCGCAACATGCCAAAAAATAGTTGCATTTTAGTCGCCTGTGGCAACCCTGTCAATACTAGAAAAGAATTGATGAAAATATTAATTTATAGAGTAAAATCTTTCTTATTTAAAGTTGACATGGCACAAGGGTTAAAGGCACTAACGTGTCACTGAGCAGAACCATGATTTTTGGAGACGCCCGCCTAACTTCAGATCAGCTTGTTTAGGAAGTAAAGATGACATTAATATTTTTTTTCTGGTATTTTAAAATATTAAAAAGTAGAAAAGAAAAATGCAAAAATATTGCAAACAGCAATACAATAAAACTTGGTAGTTTATCAGCAAACATTTGAAGTAAAAATATTGAATTCTTTACAGCATTCAAGATCACATTAAAAAAAATAATTTAATTTTACTGTTATCTAGTTTTAAACATTAAACTGAAAAAGGTGATTTTCCATGATGCTTGCAAAGAACGGAGGAAAGCAATCCACAATGCGTTTCATATATTTGTCACAAAGCAAGACTTTAGTTGCTGTACAAGTATGTTTCAGAACTATATCAGAGGCAAATTGACAAAGTTTTTTTATAAGTAAAAATTTATAATTTATGGATTTGAAAATAGTAAATGGTCTACTAGATCCATTAGAGTATAGTTTCTGTTTCAATATACAGAACTATTTCATATGACAACAAAAATTCAAGACATACATTAAATATATAAAACAATAAAAGTCAAATCACAATAAAAAAATCTTACAATAAGAAAATGAAATACTCTTCATTCAGATCAACATTAAAAGGATGCCAATAAAAACAAGATTTGTATGCAATTCCTCAAACCTGCAGTAAAGATTAAGGCTCCAAATAAAAATTTTTTAGTTTAACAACCAATTCTAATTTTTAAATATTCATTTCTCATAAATAAAAGCTATGTATTTAAAATTTTTGTTGAAATAAATATTTCATCACTGTTAACGTTCTATACTGCATATAATTTCATTTGTTGTTTCAGGTTCTTAGATTTTTGTTTAATCACTTAATTAAATATTAATAGTCAAATGTAACCAAAAAACGAATTTGAAAATGCTAAGTAAAGCATTTTTTAACTGTATAGAAAATTTCTATATAAAAACAAAAAACCACATCTACACAAATGGGAAAAAAAGTGAACCACATATACCTCGTATCAGAAACATGTGAGGTTGACCAGCATGCCACAAAATTCGAATTCTAACAACATGCCAGATAATTTGGGGTTCATTTTGCAAAAGAAAAAAAAAGGTAAATTTTTCTCCTGATAGAACTAAGGTGAAAAATTTACCTTTCTTTTTTTCTTTTGCAAAACGAACACCAAATTATCTGATAACATATCAAACCATGACAGGGAAGAAAGTAAGTAAGAAAACTGGTATTTTTCTTTTCTTCCTCAACAACATCTTTCTTAAAGTATGTAATTGTGTAGTAGATGAAAGTGGCCTTCACAAACATCCACTGCAATATGTTTACAACTTGCAATATGCTGTCTGAGGCTGCAATATGTTTACAATAGCAAATAAAATGCACACATTTTATCCGTCAAGTTTTGCCAGTATGTTTTAGGGGTATTTATGTCAGAAATATACACTTTTAAATGTTGACAGACAAGAGTAAATATAATACTATTTGCTTCATAATACTGCAACAATACAAAATGTTAAATGCCTTAGTCTCATATTGACCATGTAATACTTCTTGCTTTATTCATGAAAACAAAAATGACTTTAAGCAAAAAGAACATAAGTTGAATTAGTTAAAATGAATCTTATTATTTGTCAAGTTTTGCCAGCATGTTTTAGAGGTATTTAAGTCAGAAATATATAATTTCAAATGCTGACAGACAAGAGTAAATATAATACTATCTGCTTCATAATACTGCTACAATACAATATGTTTAATACCTTAGTCTCATATTGACCATAGAATACTTCTTGCTTTATTTATGAAAACAAAAACAACTTTAAGCAACAAAAAAAAAAGAACGTAAGTTCAATCAGTTAAAATGAATCTTTTTCACCTGTTAGCCAACCACCAAGAAGGAATCAACTGACGCAGGTTATCCTGCCAAAACTTTCACAAGGCAATTGAATTTATGATTCGAAAAAGGAACTATAGTTTGATTAATTTATCAACCATTAATAAATTCAGGAACCAAACCAGATATCAAAAGAAAAACATTGTGTTAAGCATTGATTTTAAAAATAAAATTAGATATTTTTTTAAAATTAAAATTTACAATTTACTCTTAATAATGTAGTGCATCCGTAAATTCAATAACTTATCATTAGAGGAATCAATGATAATTTGTAAATACAGTCAAACCTTAATATGTATCGCGATAATTCGTAAATAGTTTTTGTTCCAAACCTCTTTTTCCCCCAAAAGAATGTGTCTACCTATATAACCTGACTGCAGTTCTGTCAGTGAATTTTTTTCCGGAATGTGGCTTATTCTTAGGAAGGCTTGGGTGGCCACTTGATATAGGATGTCCCCAAAGATGGATAACACCCGATCACAGTAGCGTAGTTTTAATGTATATATACATAAGTTCACAATGTAGAGAAAACAAAAAAGATATAACCTTTTCATCAGCTCACACGATTATCTCAGCAAAAAGGAGTGCATTCTAATATTGTATCAATATAGAAAAAGCAAAATATAGCAATACGATAGAGTGAGGAGCCCTCAAAAACATTTTTTTTTGGAACAAAATAGAATAGAACACAGTAAGTAATAAATATCACATAAAAAAGAAAATAAGATGCAAAGAAAAACAGAACAAAACATAAAACGAAATCTATAAAGCAAGTAACGAATTCAAATGAACTTACATATATATATATTCTAGACGTTTGTATTACATAAAATGAATAATGAAACTTTTTTTATATCTACATCCTACTTACTGTACATTAGTTCATTAATCAAGCCATATTTAATTTCAGAGGAGGTTTTGCCCCTAAATCCCCCCCAAAACTACACCACTGCCTGATCACAAAACTGCTAGTATCTATTTCCATAAATATTGAGTCAATTATAAGATGAATAGCAGTCAAAACATTTTATCCCATAACATTTTTACTTTTGGAGTCTAAGTAAATAAATATACTCACTCATGCCTGAAAAGTAATGTTTAATTTGTCATAAACATTTTATTATTGATTTAAAATAGATGGTTTTAATAATTTTAAAATCTGTTAAAATTGATTCCCAAAGATTTTTTTCTACATCGTGAGAATAGCAAAAGATAATAAATATTTCCTTTGTAGTATGAATTTTTTTTTTTTTTTTTGCAATATCAAGATTTGACTGCATGCAGTAAATTAACAATACGAAAACAATGTACTTCATGAAAAAAATGAGTTCAAAAAATAAATTTTTTTTTTACACACAGTAAGTGCATTATTATAACAAGTGACTTAAATTATTCTAAACTCATGCTCTACTTCAATTAAAACAAGTCAAAATAAGAACTCTACACACAACCCTTTATTAGCATCAATAACATTTCCTCCCTAAAGTATTATTTTTTTTTTAACTTAATACATTTGTGCGCAAATTGGAGTTCTAAAAAAAGTTTTATACATAAATTACTTTTATAATAAAAATAGCATGTAAGAATTCTAAAATTATGTATGAAAAAAGTTATTATTTAAAAAATTATGATAAATTAGCAGCAATGGAAGTTAGCATTACAAGCAATTAATACTTTTCTAGATATTTAAAAATTTTATTTTTAAATAAAACTAAGTTTTCACACATTGCAAAATAGGTTACTACCTAAAGAAATTTACTGTATAAAAAAGGATATAATTAGCTGTTCTAAAAATTAGCACTAATACTGGCACAAGATCAATTCTAATACATTGAAAAAAATAATCTGTTGACTTAAAAGAAAAAAAAAAAAAGAAACCCGAGTGTTATTAGCTGCCTTTTGAGTTAACAGTTTACACGTATGTAGTCATTTCGCACACACCAAAATGAGATTAGTTTTAATATTAAAAAGAATTTTTTCAGTTCTAGTTTCAGAAATGCAAATAATCTGAACCTAAACCTTAAAGTGATTAAGGAAAAACAATACCTTTTAAGCTAAAACTTATTACTATAATGCCTGAAGCAATAATTTTAACTTGTTTGAATGACAGTATAGCATGACCATAAAGATTACAGTCAATACGTATAGACAAAAAAAAAAAAAAAAATAGATCATGAGCGCAATATTGACAGGGATGCCATCTTTTCAAATGACATATATATTTTTTTATAAAATAATAAAAAAAACCTATCAAGAAATTTAAAAGTTTAGTTTAAAAATTCCATTTCTCCTTTGAAATTCGATTCTTGATAAATAAATCTTAAAAATAAATTTTGCCGTCATTAAAGCATAATCTTCAAAAATTCAAAATTTTCGAAAATCATAATATGAAGATGTAAATTTAAAATCTTAATGAGTTGGCACCCCTGCAGCCCCATTTCTCTAAAAAAGACAAGATAATAGTATTAACAATTAAATAATTGAATTAATCTACATCGACACCTGGAAATTCTTCACCCACAGAAGCGTCACTCAAAAGTCCCTGCTCTGCACGCCGTTCCCAATAAGTGGCTCTTTCCAATATAGACCTCGAGATATGGCGACCAACTTTTATCTTATTGACTGAGGTAGAACTGGTGTTACTTTCATCTGACGTGTAGCCATGTCCATTGTCCCCTTGGGTGGAGCCTTGAGCTGATTCGGGGCTGCATAAAGTTTCTCTCTCCGCGTCCAGGGAAGACACTGGAATAGTTCTATTCATTGGCTTAGGAAAATTCAGTTTGGCAAGATCGCGGAACTCCCTTGACAAACTTCGAGCTGTCAAACTATGAACCTGTAAGAAAAAGGCAATTTTTACTGGCGAAATGAAAAGAATTATTTACAGCAAATAAGATCTAGACACACTTTGCCATTTCGATTTTTTAAGATAGCTAACCTTACCTAATTATGAATAAATTGAAATATTTTTTTTATCTTATTATGTACTTGCCAACAATTTCAGTTTAATTAATAATTGATTTAGCAAATACATATATTGTGAAAAATGATTATTCAAACAGGAGCACAGAAAAATCTAGAATAGTCCCCTTCGCCTGAAAATAGGTGCCTTTTTAACCTTTTCTGGCAAAGAAAGTTGCCATAGTCGCCTCAGGTCAAAAATAGTTGCAAATAGTCGCCTGTGGCAACCCTTGGAGGCTCACAGATTCTTAGAATTGTTACATTTGGGTGAACAGTTGATTTTGAATTTAATATTAAATCAATATTTTTCACAGCCCCAAACAGATCCCCTAACTGATTAAGCTGATTTTCTTGATTTCACAATAACAAATACGGTTAATAATTTTTCATTTCAAAAACTTTTATTAGTTTTTGTGTTTATTAATTATTTAAAGATGTTTAGAAAAAATTTTAAAATTTTTTTACAAATAAAAATGATCACAAAAAAGCATGCTGAAGCTTTTTCTTGATTTCATATTTTGACAAAGAACATTTGGACGCAACTTAATCTTCGATTTTATCAAAATTATTTGTTGATAACACCCAATTTCTACGGAATGTTGTTTGAGTTCATATAAAACAAGAGAATTTAAAATAATTAATGATCATATAAACAATTTGTATATTTCAAAACTTATTTTGATGAAATTTTTATGCCTTTAACTACAGCTAATCCTATATAAGAGTAAGATAAAATTTTAATTGCTGTTAAATTGATCATAGATATAATTAAAAATAGAAAAAACTTATATGGAAAAAAAAATCAGTTGGGAGAATCACTACCTTCTGGCATGGTCTACTTCTTTTCAGTTTTTCAACTTCTTGTTTACTGGATCCTAAAACTACTTTTTTATGGAAGATTTCCTAAAACAAAAAGTTAAGCAAGTTAAGTAAAAATGCATCACTCAAATGCTCTGATGAGTTCTAACATGATATGGAAGTTAGCCAATCATCATTGAGGATGATATGAAAGTATTTAACTAGTTAAAGTAGCTTACATAATAAAACAAAAAAAGTTTTTCAGTTAGCCGGGCGCAACTGCCGCCAAACGCAAGCCAAGTCACCAAGCCAAGGGAATGACAAAACAGTCAGGGGAATAAAAGTAGAAAACGTTCAAATATAAACAATATTAATGAATGGTGAACAAAATAGTTTTACCCAAAAAGAATGCTTATAATAATTGGTTTTTCCAGAATACAATGACCTTGAGAATTTGCTCCAATGGATCCATTTTCAATTCTGGCTAAATTCCAAATTTTCATAATTTTTTTAAAACAAAAATTAAGATGGAAAAAAGAAAGGAAAACGTGCTTTGTTTTGAATGAATTCAGAAAACAGATCACGTGTCTCAAAACTTACATTCCCCAGATGATTGTAAGACATTTTCTGGAATTCTACATTATTTGGCGATTTTTCACTTGCTCACGGCTAATGGACAAGTACCCAAAAAATATACGAAAAGAGCATGATAGTGTAAGGGTAGGTGAAAATATTGTCATGCCTACACCAAGAGTACACCTCCTGATCAGGAACTGGGGAGAATAACAGCTTAGTCCTCTTGATTAAAGTATATGCCCATTCATGAAGAGGTAAGTAACCTCATAAATCACTCATTATAAATAGCTTAAAAAATAAATAGTGACGCAGAAAAGATCCAGCTAGAAAAATTTTAGTTGAAAATAATAATAACTAAAAACATTTAACAAAAGTTCCTAATTCAAATTAACGTGAGACTAATGCATGATGGACAATTGCACAATGGCTGTATTTGCAGATGGAATTAAAAAATACTATGATAAAAAAGATTCATATTACTTAAATCAATGTTATTGATTCTAGGTGGGCTGGGATTCTTCAAACTCTGTTTATTACAGACTTGTTTAATTTTTAGTATTATTATAAATTTTAAAAAATGTTACTGCTTTCTATAAATTTACAGTTACTTATTACACATTGAAATATTATACAAATTTATTTAATTCTTCAAGATTTTTGGAAATAGTTTTTGCTATGGATTCTAAATTCTCTGATATTTTTTTTCTTAGGGTTTTACTTTGTTCCTATAAGCAGATGCATTACCAGTAGTACTGAATTTCATTTATTCTGTTGACTTTGTAGGTCAATATGGGTCTTCCACTAAGAACCCCCCACTCAAAAAAAAATAAATAAAAATAAATAAATAAACAATTAAATAAAAAAAAACACTATCTCTTCTATGTCCAGTATCCCCCGTGTGCACAATCTATTCTTTTCTCTCTGAATGCTTCACTCTCCTCATAGAGTATCATTCAGAAGGCAGAATATATTAAAGAAAGAACAAATATATTAATGAAAGGACATGCTTTATTCCTCTTGCCTCCTCGAACACACCCCTTCTTGTCTTTCTAAAATGCTCTATTCTTGATGCATGGTCTAAGTCAGAGATGGGCAAACTGTGGCCCGCGGGCAAACTGTAGTCCGCCGGAAGGTTTTATCCGACCAGCGGAAAGAATTTTAACTTGCCGATCTGTGACGAATATAAACAATATACATCCCTTTTCTTGTCTACTTTTGTTCTTTCTTTTTTAACAAAGTATTGATGACCTTTTTACTTTCTCTATTTTTGTTCTACAAAACATAAATTGATGGAAATAGGCAGCTTCAATTGGTAAAATGTTGAAATCAAAAGTTCTTTATAGAATAGCGGTAGATTGGCGTCATCCGAAGCAGTTGTTTCTAAATATGCCGAAGTTAGTGTTTTACAAATCATTACCAAAAGCTAGTTTACCAAATTTATTATTTCATGCCCAGAAAATCAGTGCTATGTTTGCTTCATCTTATATATGTGAACAAGTGTTTGAACTATAAACCTTGGAAAAAATCATTTCAGAAGTAGACTAACAGGCAATCATTTAGCCTTGAGCATTAAAATATGTACATCTCACTTGGAATCTCAATATAAAGAACTTTTAAAAATGAAATCGCAATTTCATTCATCTCATTAAATATTTAAATTAAAACTTGCATATCGTTTTTCTATTTTAGAAGTTTTTACTTGGCCCACCAAACTGTTTTTCCTTGTTTCTTTTGCCCTTGACCAAAAAAGTTTGCCCATCCCTGGTCTAAGTGATAAAAGAACGGCTTTTTGTTTCAAAATACTGTTCCTATCAACATAGTGATTTTGAAAAATTAAGGACTTTTAAAAAACTTGTACCAAAATTCAGTACTTTTAAGAGGCCTCATTTTCCAAAATAAAAATTAAGCAGTTTTTAAGGACTTTTAATAAACACAGGAACCCTGGTTTATATATATAACTAAACTCAGTGGTGCTACAGCCCATAGAGAGCTAAGGTCTACTTTGCCCACCCCAGTTTTTTTGACCTCGAGCTCCAGGCAAGAGCAAATCTTCTGGTCGGGTGGTAAGCGGAACCCCCAGCGCTTAGTTCCCATGCATACTTGGTACTCATTTTCTCAACCCACTAAAGGGATGACAGGCTGAGTCAACCTGCTCTAGTCTGATGATCGAACCAAGGACCTGTGGCACAAGAGAGCTACCACTCAGCCACATACCCAAGTAAAAATTTTTGATGGTTTTCTATTAATGGACCAACATGATCTTGTTGGTAACCATCAATAATTCCATCATGAACCATTATATTTCTTAATTGTAACCAACATATGTAACCATCACCTCAATGTACGAATTCGGACTGATTTATAATGGTCTAACATAAGAATAGTAACTTGTATTGATGGTTTGTTCATGTTGAACCATCAGAAATTTTCATGATAGTGTCTTAGAAAGCAAATGTTGGAACGATCATGAACCACCATCACCCCAATGTAGGAATTCAGAATGATTTATGATGGTCCAACATAAAAAACGCCAAATTGTTTTGATGGTATATTCCTGAGAACCAACAAGAATTCCCATTAAACCATCATGGAAATGTACAGTTGGAACCATCAGAGATTCTTGGTTCATGAAAGTCTAACTTCTCTTGATGGTTAACCATCATATTTTTAAAGAACCATCTTCTATCAGGGAATGAAGGAAGTTTGTTGGCAGATCAATAACCATGAACACATAATGGGAAAAGTTGGATGATGGTTGGTGACCATCAAATGATGTTGGACCATCATAAGTCGCACTGAAACCAACATAAACCATCAAAATTGTTTGATGGAACCATCAAGAATCTTGACTTGGGTAACAAGAATCTATTACAATGGGTAACAATGGGACAAGAATCTATTACAATGGGATTGCGTAACAATGGTCTTCATAGCAAAATGCAGAGAAAAGATGGAAACTTATTTTATGGGTTCTATTTACTTGCGGCTTATGAGCAGTAAATGAAACTTATTGTTTTTCTTAATTTTCTTCGTTTTTTTCTTTTTGTACAGTCAAACCTCGATATCTCGAACTTGAAGGGAGATGAGAAAAAATTCGAGATATCGAAAATTCGAATTATCGAAAATCGCATGTTATCGATGGTAGAATAAAGAAAAATGCTCTTTACATACCTTATGTACTATTCCATATTTATTTTAAAAACACTTTTTACACTTTCATCTAAAAAAAGTTTCAATTGTTGTTTGCTTTAGAGATGTGTAAGAAAGTTTGTCTATAACACTTTCTAAGTGAACTATAGCTTTAAATATCTCCTCTGACATATCTGCCTCTCAGTAAATCTCCTTACAGTGTCCATTGCAGAAAGTGCTTGTTTGTTAGTAACATTGGGAGGTAAATCTTCGCTTTCCTCATCTTCTTCTTCTGATAGTTCACAAGAAGCTTTCGTTTGAGTGATGATCCCACTGACCACACACTGTTACTGCATTATCTACGTTTACAAACTCATGAAAAACCATGTCATCAAGCTTCATGAGTCCGGTCAATCTGTTCCAATCATTTTCGGTGTAGTTTTCAGCAGAATTAATGATATTGATTGTTTGACCACTTTCGTGATCTTTAATGAAGCTAGACTTCTTGAAGCCATTCATTATCGTAGAGAAAGACACACCATTCCATGCCTTGTCAGCCATTCTTAAAAAAAAATTTTTTTTGAATATTTTTTTAATTTTAGAAATTTTTTTTTACACGATTTATGGAAAAAAGTTCAAGTTATCGAGGGATTAGAAAAAAAAAATTCGTGAAATCAAGGTTTTTTGAAACAGTGTATAGGAAATTTGAGGGGAATTTTTTCTTCTTCGAGATATCGAAAAATTCGTGAAATAGAGGTTTGAGTTAGCGAGGTTTGACTGTATTTATTTATTATGATATATATATATATATATATGGTTAATTTTTTCTTTGCCTAGGAGAGCAGTAGGGTTAACCTTTATTAGCATTGGCATTACTAGGATGATCAGTAAATAAAGTGTCCTGTCCTCCTAACACAGCTGGTTGGAAATAAAAGCAACATATTATTTTCCTTCAAACTGCTCATCAAAGAGAAGAGTCACAGTAAGAAGGTTTGAAGATCTGCGTTAAAAAAAAAAGCTGGAAATTACTTCATTCTCCCGATTGGCCTCCCTCGGTGTGTCGATTGAAGTGTCTTTAATTTCTCGCTCAAGTCTCCTGATACGATTCTCCAATGTAAACACTTTTCCAGACCTTACATAGACCTGCAAAGAACGATTGCCTCTTCAGCGAATATTTATACCAGAATTTTCTACATAAAAATCTGTAATTAAGGATGGAATAGTACTAAATTGAAATTTTGCTATACTAGATAAGGACATTTGAGGTTGCTGAAAAACCATTCAGAGTTAGATAAAGAATCATCATTTTTTTTAAAAAACTGTTTGCTTTCTCAAATGTCTGTAGAGTTTCTACATACTGCCTTAAAGAAACATGTAACAAAGATTATTTGTTTCTATTGTTTAAAGTTCTTAATTTATGAACATAAAATCAATAAAACTCAAAAACTTTTAATAATTTTGATAAAACAACTAGTTTTTTCTATTGCAGAGCAAAAATTGTGGAAATCTTGCATTTTTTGTCATTTAGAAAGACAACTGACACGGCAAAGAAAAAATACTTTTTAAAAGATAGAAAATTAAATGCTTTTCACATACCCCGAATAAAAAATGCACCTTTAAGGGTTTTTAAAAAACTGAAATCAAAAATAAGAACCTTTAAACACTTTTTAAAAACATTATGCACCCGGAAAAATAAAGCAGGCAATACAAGCAATAAAATTAGTTAGTATTATCACCAAAGGCAACTTTTAGCAGCTGTTAGAGTGATTTAAAAAACTCGCTCTTTTATTTTGTCTCAATCTACATTTCTTACTACCCAAATTTAACTCTACATCTACATTTTTTCATTGCAGAAAAAAAGATAAAGGAACTAAAGTTGCTCTATTGCTCCAAATTTCGTAATTTTTTAAAAGGCAATTTTCCAATGAAGCTGCTGGACAGCCGAAAAACTTATGGATTGGCCGTAATTTTTAGAACGTAATTTACATTTAACAAACATAACCTTACATTTAACAAATATAATAATTTAACCTCATATTTAACATTTAAACAAATTATAAAGTGTCTTTAGTTTACTTTTACGAGACATTTTGTAAAAGTTCTTCCTTTGCATTTAAATACTCATGATAAGTTAAGCTTTCTTAAAAGTTTTTACACATGCTATATATTGCTATATATTTTTTAAAAAAAATCATTATCATAACAATAAATATTTCTTAGATCAGAAAATTTGAATCCTGGTACATAAACTTTGAACCATTTGGCCAAAAAAGTTTTTATTTTTATAACGACAAGTACTAAACTTTCGTTCTTCACCTCAGAAGATGCCGGAAGTGTTGCTCATTTAACATTAACCTGTGAGCCTAAGTCACTGAGGCGAGCAACATTACCCACGCCACAGACACCCGTTCATAATGTGGGTCACAATTACAAATCACAGAACACACAGAGAGGGAAACGTTCATGCCCTGAGCGGAATTTGAACCTGCAGCCACTGGCTTCAAAATGAGACACGCTGACCGGCATTTGCCCAGAAGTTGCTCCTCCGCCGGAGGTATTAAAACAAAAATAAAGAGATACCACTCACTTTTTCTTCAAATGAATTGAGAGCTTCATCAGAAAGGCAGTTATCGGGAGAGACACGTCTCATGGAGCTCTGCAGTTTAAACAGTCTGTCAGAAGGTGGGATTTCCTTGTTAATGTAATAGTCTCTCTCATACAATTCACTGTTGATGGACTTGGGGCCACAGTTCACTTTATGAAGAGGGGATTCATCAGATGGTACAGTGTGTTCAAAATCTTGAAATGATCGAAATCCAGTCTTGTGTGTAGATCGCTTAGAAATATTTTCAGCACTGTACGGGTTGTTTTTTAAAGGAACTGCATTCAACCATTTCTTGTGCTCTCTTTCTGCAATAGTACCTACAGAAATGAGGACTCAAAATTATTTATTTGAAGAATTAACTCCAATTATAAAAAATGGACTATATCCAATTATGAGTCATGGTGACTCAGGGTATAGAGCACTCGCCCAGTGGCGTAGTTATGGGGAGGGTTTGGGGGACAAAAACCCCTCCAAAATTAAATAGTACTTGAATAATGAACTATTGCATGGTCAAAAGGTTTTCATTTTTTGTGATATACAGTGGTGGCCAAAAGTGTGGAAATTTTTTGAAAGTTTCATGTTTTTCAACTTTGTGTGTTTGTAGAATATATTAATTCTCACTTAAATACAAAAGTTTAGATATCAAACTGAAGGTAATTTAATGTAGAATTTAACAATAAATAAAAGTTATGCAACTAACAGTAAGATCTATCTTAGATTTGCATTTTTTTAAAGTGATACTTACACAATCAATACTTAGTAGGATAACCCTTATATTTTAAGACAGCTTCACAGCGTCTTTTCATCGAGTGAACGAGTGCTTGGAGTTAATCTTTTGTAATCACATGGTGCCAAGAATCAATTATAGCTTTAATAAGTTGTCTTTTATTGGATGGACATTTTTTTCGTACAAGAATTTTCAAATGTTGTCACAAATTTTCAATTGGATTGAGATCAGGGCTGTTTCCTTGCCATGGTAATATATCTATACCTTTATTTTGAAACCATGCTTTGCATACTTTTGCTGTGTGGCAGGGAGCTCAATCCTGCTGAAAAATAAATGGTGCGTTGTTGAGGAAGAGATCCCTGAATGAGGGTATCAATTTTGGTTTCAGGACAGTTTCAATGTATTTTTTGGCATTCAGGATGCTATCAATCACTTGAATTCGGCCCACACCATATCCAGACTTACATGCCCAAATCATGACATTTGTTGGGTTTTTTGTAGTTGCTTCAATGCAATCAGGATGAAGTGCTTCACCTATCACGCACCGATCACAGTGCTAATGTGAAATATGCTCAGTGGTAGTTGGATCATGGGCTAGAGCCCCCTTGCCGTCAGGCTAACCATGGGAGGTTCCTGTAGTCTTCCTCTCCATGCAGCGGAAATGCGGGTTAGTTCCATCAAAACAGCCCTCCACGAAGGCAAATTTCTGCCAATACTTGATCCAGGAGTTGCCTTGTTTTCTGAATTGGGTTAAAAATTACAAGGCTATGGAGTGGAACATTAACAGTCGTAAACTCAAAATTGGGTCAGCTGTTCAACGACGGTTACAAAAAAATAAAATATATTCAATTATATAAAATAGAAGAATCTCAATAGTGTTTAATTATATTTTCAATATACCAATAAAGCATAAATGCCAATGTTTAATCAACTTTTGAACAATAAATATCTTTTAATGTATTCTTAATTCCTAAAAATTATATAATTCTTTTTTCAGTAAATATGAAGTGCCATGATCAAAAATGTTTACAATTTACAATATTTGGTAATTATTACATTTACAATCTTGGAAGCACATAAATTAAAACATGCATTTATACAAATCAAACCATATAAAGTTAGTCATCTGATTTCCCCGTTTCATTATGATCTAGTTTCGAATAAAAATTTTTGTGGTTTTATACTAACTAGAAGATAAAAAGAAGCTTACCAGGTCGTGGAGGAGTTTTCTCATGTAATTCTTCTTCTAATTTCATCTGACATGAAAAATATAAACACAAAATTATTAAGTCGACAGAAATTAAATTGAGAATATCTAGAAAATGCAGCTATCCAAATATCTTTTGATAAGAGGATATTGGATACTGGACAACAAAACTTATATATTTAATAATTGTGTGACTTACACTTAAAAGTGACTATTTATTTGTACACAAAAGGTAACACATAAGTAATTTACTCCAAGTTTAGTTTATGGTCAAGTTATTTATTAACTAAAACTTTTTATTTTTTTGCATATATTTAAATCAATTTAATCATTATACTGCAGGTAAATAATATCTTATTATTCAATTATAAACAATTTCAACCATACACACATCTATGGTTTGCTTATATTGATTACATACTCTTAAAAAGGATTGAAAGAAAATGCAATAGATATTATAAAATAAAGACTCAAATTTGAATTTAAAAGTTTTATAGGAAGATACAAATATCAACTCAAACTTGTACAACTCGTTGACAAATTTTTTTAAGAAATTGATTAAAAAGGAATAAAAAAATAAAGAATATGAACAGCTTTAAGGTATAAAACTGAATGACAAAATACACTGGTTATCATAAATTAAGGAAAAATCACAAAAATAGCGATAACTCTTTCAAAAGTAAGCCAAACCGTGCAAAATTTGCATATGTTGTCCACTAAGAGTAGCTGAGTAAATTTGCAATATGCAAATTAGTGGCGCTGCACTCGGCTTACGTCATCTGCCTGGAGCATAAAAGTCCAAGTTTGAGAGAAAGCACACAAATTTTACTGTGATTGCGACATTGAAAATCTGAGATAGCCAATTCGTAATAATGACCTCTAGGCATCATTTGCCTGAAGAACTACGATGGAGAGCCATCGGGAGACTANACATGTGCTAATTTCTATACTACTATTAATGTCTGATAATTTCTTTTTATGTTGTTTAATACCTTACTATGTGTTGTATATTGTGGGTAAGTTTCATAAAATTCCATGTGTAATTTCTTGAGTTATCGCGATTTTTGTGAATTTTCCTTAATTTATGATAACCAGTGTATGTTAACCTTATAATACCGAATCATGGACTGTGACATTCTGTTTTATATTCATTTTAAGACAATTTTATGCCAATTTGCATCAAAGTTATGATAATCATTTTTTAAGAAAAAAAATTCAAGTTTTCCATGTAAAAAATGTTATGTCTAACAATGAAACTGCATTTATGTCAAGTATAATTTATTGCTTAATAGACATCTATAGTGTAAATATAACCAGAAGAATATACATTGTATAATTTATTTTGAGTATTGTTAATTCAGGGTACGTAGCCATATCTTTCAACAAAAAATAAGCACCATTTAAGCACTCAACAAACATTTTTCAGCACTATATACGTTAACAAAATGCAAAATAATTTTCAAAGACTTTACATGATCATGATAAAATAACTAGTTTCCGACACAGACCTTTTTTCTCATACACTTTATACACTCCCAAATGGAAGCAAGGAAATAACGCAAACAATAATATATTTACAACAATATTTGTAAAACACATTACAAAATCTATTAATAAAAGCTCACATTCAAATTATGTTTAGATTCTTCCTCTTCAATTTTCATAGGATTTTGTCCTTTATATTCCATCCCATATACATGCTCTTTCGACCTTTTTACGTCTACTTCTTCAGCAATATCTGCTTCAAAGGTAACATTTTCAATATTCTCCCCTGGAAAGAAGTGTTTCATATAAAATTTAAATGCAAGTTCAAACAGTTAACAAAGATCAGCACCAGTAAAATCGTTTTACACCTTTTCAATAAAATAGTAGAAAAAAATGAGCTACATGTGTTTTAGAAAAAGAAAGAAAATCAGACCAACACTTTCAAAATTAAAATTTTTAGAAAAAAAAAAAGAATACTGAGAACAAAAATTTGAATTATTATGAATAGTTCACCTTATAATGTATTATTTAAATGTAATTAAAGTTCAAACATAATAGGAAAAAAAAAGTATATTTATAAACTTTCATAATTTCACAAATTAAGCGTATCAAAGAGGGATTATCTGAATCCAATATTTAAACATTACTTGTAAATTTCTGTAGAATAGAAAAGTAAGTTTTTTTTTACTTTCACAAAAGAAAAATCTTTGTCCAAGATATCTGTAAAGTTCAGCGACAATGTCACCGCGATTCTGCCAAAGGGGTATTTAGCTATACACACTTTATAATGTTAGTATTAATTAAGTTTTATTAAATATATATTTCTTGTTAACAACATAAATTTAGATATAGTTAAGACAATATATTGTACATATTTTATATTAATAGTATGATGGAATGATAAAAAGGTAAAAATTGACATAGGTTACAATAGTAAAATAAGTTTAAAAATTAATGGTTTAATAATGTCAGAGTTTGTAGTAGGCATGAAATTTTTACTTTTCCTGATAAAAAATAATTTTGTTATTTCCCATTATTTTTCAGTTTTTTTTTTTTTGCTGATTTTTTTTTGTGTGTTTTCAAAACTATCCATTTTCCATGAATACTAATACAGTTTTTAAAATAATTGGTTTGAATAATTGAAAGCCTCGGATCGTCGATCTAATAACATTTTATTTTAATTAATAATTCATTTAAAAAATTACTTTTGAACACATATGCTAAGATGTATATTCATTGTGTTTTCGTTTTGAAATTATTCAAATCTCATTTTAAAATATTTGATTAAAGAAATCATGAACTCAATTGCAAATTTTAAATAAATATTGATAAGAAAGATTATTTACTAATTAATACTGGTTATTTTTTAATGCAACAGTATCATTAAAATCTCCTAATTGTTGATCTCAAACTGTTATGAGTTGCTCAGTGCTGCATTGATAGAATTTTCATGGAAAAATAAATTGTTAAAAATTTTTTTTTCCCTCCAGAAAACTACTCTGGAATTAAAAATAGTATACATCTTTTTCGCAATAAAATTTGCCCTTATTGTACTTAATTAGAGTAATTTAAAATTTTTTTTTTTAGTTTGTTGTTTGCCGTTTTAAAAGTAGTCGGATTTGCATACGCTGGAATTGATTTTAAGCCTTCTTAGAACATGTTATTCAGATAAATTCATTTTTATAGATTTTTTTTGGCAGGAAAGCTAAATCTAAACATTAAAAAATTATACATTCATATTTATTTAAAAAAAAAGGGGGGTATTAAAAAGGTATTTAAACTCAAAAGTGGAAAATTTTTATGAGAAAATGGAATATTTTTTCAGTTGGTTCTATTTAAAGTAAAAATATTTACATAAATAATAAAAAAAGTAACTTTTAAAAAGATTTTCAAAAAAACCCCCATTTATTTTAAACCAACCCTGCCTAGTATTGAACTACTTTAAGAAGTAAACCACAGAACACTATAAATTTATACTAACTATTTAAATAGCAGGAGCCAAGAGGCTGAAAGACTGATTCTTCTCTTGAAAGTAAAGATACAGGACTAGATTGGAATGATTGAGAATATGACTTAGACATAGCATTATCTTCAAACTTTAGTTTTTCTTCGTCTGTTACTTCCAGAGATTCAGAGTCACTGGAAAAGTCTATAGTTCCAAGTGAATTTGTTTCAGATAGTTCAGATGACACTGACTCATTCGGTTCTCTAGAAATAAGGAAAATATTTAAACCAAATACTCTTGCAGTCAGGTTTTAATACCATAACTACAGATCACAAAAAGATTAATAAACTAAACATATATGAGTTTAACTTTCTATGAGATTTCATAGCCAAATCTTTCAACAAAAAACTTTTAAGTACTTTTTAAGCACTCAAAAAATATTTTTAAACACTATATACATTAATAAAACGTAAAATAATTTTCAAAGATTTGACATGATTATGATAAAACAACTAGTTTCTGACTATGAAAATTGATAAAATGATTATATTGATAAAAAGATTGAGAGATTTTTCGGCTCTATTTCAGAGGGTGGAAAATAATGCCTGAAATTTAGAATATCTTGCAAAACGCAGCAGAGTTGCACATGAGAGTGCAATAATCTCACCGAACCCAGCTCAGTAGAGGCACACACGGACTTGTAAATATTTCATCAAACATGTAAAATGATTCGCGTTTTCCCACGCCAAGGACTGACGGTACACCAAAATAGACTGTGGTTGAATGAGTAGTGAAAATGCTGAATAGAACAATATGAAAACCACACTTTTGCATAATGCATAGCATAAATCGACACGTTAAAGAAAAAAATCACATTTTCCATAGGGGAATATTAAGCACTTTTTAAAAGCACATTTACAGGCTTTTAAAAACCGAAAATAAGCACCTTTAAGTATTTTTTAAAAATGCTACGCACCATGTTAACAAGAAAAATTTTGGTAGGGCTCCACTCAATTTGCAAAACAAAATTCCCTGACTTTTCCAGGTATGCCAGGTAAATTTCAATGAAAATTTAGACCATATTTTCACCAGAAAACTTTGATTCTTGTATTTGTTACGTGAAATATTAGATTTTCTGGGTATAAAAATATTATTAAATGACGATGGGAACATTTCAGTTTGACTAAAATGTAAAATTTCTGCAACAAACAATTATAATAGATGTAAGAATTCTTTAACTCAAATCTCAATAACTGATTTCTGTTACAGACAATTTAAAGACTGGTTACTTCCCAGGTATGATATAGGAACATTCCAGGTTTTTGTAAAAACCTTTATTTAACATGACTTTCCTTGACTTTTTGGAGTTAAAATAAAACTCCCTGACAGTTCCTGTTATTCTCCCTGACCACTGGGAACCCTGCTTGAAACTAAATCAGTAAGAAGAATAAAAAACAGCTATTAACAAGAACATTTTTGAAATTAAATCAGGTTGCGTAGCCAAATCTTTTAACAAAAAATAAGCACCTTTTAAGTACTTTTTAAGCACTATATACATTAACAAAATGCAAAATAATTTTCAAAGACTTCACACGATCATAATAAAATAACTAGTTTCTGACAAAGAACTCCTTCTTTGATTATATTAGCAATTATAAAATGATCAAAAGACTTTTCGGTTCGATATCGGAGGTTGGAAAATGAGAATATCTTGCAAAATGCAGCAGAGTTGCACATGAGAGTGCAAAAAACTCATCGAACCCAGCTCAGTAGACGCACATGCGGACTCGCAAGTATTCATCAAACATGTAAAATGATTTGCGCTTTCATACGCTATGGACAGATGGTACACCGAAACGGATTGTGATTGAATGAATTGTAAAAACGTTGAATAGGGCAATGCAAAAAGCACGCTCTTGCATAAATACAAGGTGAAAATCGACATGGAAAAGAAAAAAACCTCCTTTTCGGGAATGGAAAATTAAGCACTTTTTAAAAGCATTGAATGAAAAAAGCACCTTTAAGGGCTTTTAAAAACCAAAATAAGCACCTTTAAACACTTTTTTAAAAACGTTATGCACCATGTAAATAAATAAGAAACAACAAAGTAGCTTAACTTACACATCAGTGGATTCAGACGGATAAGGTATGAACATTGTGGGAGGTTCATCGCAGTACGTTAAAAGCTGGTACTTGAAATTGCTGTAGAGGGGTAAGCGCTTCTTCTTTCTGAACAGCCAGTTCTCTTCCCAGGAGGTCGTTGAAACAAAATGGCAAGGGCTATCTCCGTTATCTAAATTCTCCTCGATCAAGTCGCACCCGAATTCCGGAAACGGAATAGGGGCTTCCGATGGGTGGTCTAAGTTAATAAAGGAGTCCAGATCAGAATGTTTGGTTTCACCAACTTCATCAATATTTTGCTGGCTACTGGAATATTTGCTGATGCTGCTTAGTTTGTCATCTTCTGAGTCCGTAAACTCTTGCGTTATCTCTTCAATTTCCTCTATTTGCTGAGTGAAGTATTAAGGCACATTATAATTTAGTTTAAAAAGGCGAAAAGAATAGATGCTTGTAAAAAATTTAATGCTCAGTAAATATTATTAAAATCCAATTAATTACAATCTAATTATTTTGATCTTAACTCATGACTCAGGCAGGGTTGACATGATTTAAATGGCAATTTAAATCATGACTCATTTGAAAAATATCATTCATTTAGATCACCTAATTTAAAAAAAAAAATTAAAGTAAAATATAGCAAATCAAATACAGTGTAATTTTGTATTTATTTACATACTTGCCAACATTGGAGAAATAAAATAACAGAGATTTTACTAGCGACATGTTTTGGGCTATAAGTAAAGTTTTTATACATCATGCAAGTCAAAATTTAAAATAATAAAATCCCTTAGATTCAGCGAAGTAAAAATATGCATATAAATCTTAATTAAAAGATTTTTTTAAACTATTACATATTTATAATTACTTAAACTATAAACACTCAATATACTGTAGTACTGGCAATATCACCATCTGTTGAGGAAAAAGAGAAGTATTTTTGCCATTAGCGGATATTTTATTGGCAATTTTTTTAAAAATTTCTTCAACAAGTACAGAGAAATATGAAAATATGCAGGTAAACAGGAGATAGTATAAAAATACAGTTTTTGCTGCTAAAAAAAAAAAAAAAAAAAAAAAAAAAAAAAAAAACAGGAGACTTGGCAGGTATGTATTTATACAGTAGAAAACTAATAATTCAGAATGCTTAGGACTATCGCTATCACATGTTGTCCGAATTTCTGGATTGTTAAAAAGTTATTCGATACAGCTTAACTTTAATATTAAATAAAAAATAGCTGTATGTTAGCTGTTTTAGAATTCCAATTAAAAATTTGTATTTTCACTTCACCATTTTTACTTATTTATTTTCCTCCTGGTTCCTACTTATTTGTTCTTGTATTTTAAGTGTGAAATTTCGGTATGTGGTTTAGATAGAACACATGTATTTTGGAGTTCAGCCTTTTTTTAAAATACTTAATAAAATAGAAATAAGAATACCTTTTAATAAATTTAGTAATTTTATAACAAATTTTGTCAGAATTAGGTGGCAAAAAAAAAAGAGTTGAAACTAGTTACAAGAGTCAATAATTTGCTTGCAGAAAGTTTTAGTTATAATTTTTTTAAATTGAGATTTTGCGTCTACTTTTACCTAAGTCTGCAACTCCTTTTAGTTTGATTGACAACAGCTACTCAGAGAACCACTGATTCTTTCTGGCACACAGAGAAAATAAATAATTTATTCCTTCCCTACCCCCTTTAAGACAAGATACTTATGATTAAGACGAGGGTGATTGTGAGTCCAACTCAAAAATCCAGAAAATTTCTCAAGTCAAATTATTAATGAGGCACTTCAAAAACTTAATGTCTTCATAAATTTAATTCATTGATAATTTAAATGAATAATTATTAGGGATGTAACAAATATTCGGCCTAGTCGAATACTGAAGTTATTCGGCTGAATATGAATATTATTAGATATTTGGCTGAATAAATTCATAATAATAAAGAAAGATATTTTTTTAAATGTGCTTTTAAATATATTTAATCATGAATATTGCAGAGTTACATTTCACTGCATTAATTATTAGAAAATCTAACATTTACTCAATTTAAGTTGTATAATACATAAGTGTATTTAATAATGTTACATAAATAAAAACGTTTTCTTGTTGCAAATTTATCATCATATATATTTAAACAAGCATTGGAATCTTTTACATTAAAATACAAATATATATAGTTTGTTAAATAGAAGTGTGAATACTATCTGAATCGGCAATTAAAATTTTATGTCTCACTGGGTAGTAAGTAGAAGTGAAGAATATTTATATTTTAATGTAAATAACTTAACATCCTGAATTAAAGAAAATTAATCTGTTAAATGATTTTAAAAAATTGACATATAAGTTTTTAGTTTTCTGGGTTTTAATAATTTTTCTGGCCAAAAAAATAATTAAAAAATACATTTAACAGTAGTAATGAGTTCTTATTTTAAATAAAATATATAAATTACAAGTATAATTAGTTAAAATATGCTATTATTAATTATTTAGATTTGTGAAAGCCTTATTGTTGGCATCAAGATATTTAAAATATTACAAAAAATACATCAAGTTGTTAAATTTTTTTTAAAATATAGAAAGTTTAAAAAAGCAAATTTTTTAATATTTATTTCATTTTTAATTTAAAATTTGAAAATTATTTAATTACAAAATTAAAATTTCAAAAGTGAAACTTTTTAAAAAGTTCTTAATTTTCTGGGTTTTAATAATTTTTCTGACTAAAAAGAAAGTTAAGAATACATTTAACAGTAGTAATGAGTTCTTATTTTAAATAAAATAGCATATAAATTACAAGTATAACTATAACTAAAATATGCTATTATTAATTATTTAAATTTATAAAAGCCATATTGCCTTGTTATTGGCATCAAGATATTTAAATTATTACAAAAAATAAATCAAGTTAAAATTTTTTTAAATATACAAAGATTAAAAAAGCAATATTGTTAATATTTATTTCATTTTTAATTTAAAATTTGAAAATTACTTAATTACAAAATTACAATCAAAAGAGAAATTTTTAAAAAGTAAGTATTCGGCCTAAAATTTGGTCGAATATTCGGTATTCGGCCCCATCACTAATAATTATGTATTGGTTTACTTTTATCCCTAATCAGGTTTATTATTCTACTAGAAAAAAATATTTACAAATTAGAGAGATGCCAAGTATAAATTTTAGTTCTAATATTTTTAAATAAAATATACAAGATTTTTATACATTAATGTGATTTCTTGAAACTTCTGGACCTTGTATTTCTGGGAAATTTCCCTAATGCAGTTAGCGAAAAATCCATATTTTTTACACAGCGGATTCATCTCTGATACAAATATGTAATATTTTTTTGCCATTGTGGATATTTTACATTGAGACTTCAAAGATTTAAATTTCATGAAATATAGCATCAGTAATATTAAAATACAATGGATTGGAGTTGATGATTGACAAAAACAATTTTTAATTTTAAAGAGTGCAAGGTTGAGTCAATCAAAATAAATAAATAAATAATAGTAATTATCTATCAGTTATTAAAAACATGTGCCATTTGACAAATGTTTTTATGTAACTGATAGATAATTATTATTTAATAATTAGTTAATTATAGATTATCTAGATTAATTATTATAGATAGTTATCTAGATTAATTATTATAGATAATGACTATTACTCACCACGCATTTCACAGGCAAATCAAACGGAGTGGAATTCAACATATTGTCAAATGACTTTTCATTATCCAAATGGAAATCACTAGCATAATTTTCAATTTCTGAAAAAAGTTTGAAATATTAGATTGGTTTGTATATCAGCTAAAAAGTTACAGATTATACAAGGGAAAAAATACAGTCAATACTTGATATAATTACCCCTGTGGTTCAAAGAATTAAGGACATTATAACTTATGATCATTATAACATGAATACTCAAAACTATGCAATATGAACTTATAAATACTGAACTTTGGCACTATCGGTTCACAATGTACATCGGGTAATTTTCCAGTTATTTATCGTTTTTCAGACATTTCAACAGTTTTTCAAATTTTGATATTTTTTTTATACAATGTGATTTTCACACGCTAACTTCAAGTTCGAGTTATGACTTTTCATATGCTCAGTTTGCAAAGACTCAGGTATAAGCCCTAACTGCTTTTAAAGTGTTTATTTGGCAGTTATTCATAAATTTTCACATGATTTTTAATATGATGTTATTACAACACAAACATTTTGAATTTGAATTATCACTTCCGGAAGCACTTGAAATAAATAAATAAAAAAAAAATTGTGACCTCCTTTAAAAGATCCAGATTCTTTGTGACTTTTGTGACCCTTTTTTTAAATCAGTGAGAAAAATGAATTCATGCCAAACATGAAACTATGATGTCGTAGATCGATATATGGACACAGCTAAGTAAAAATATATGGACACAGCTAAGGGAAAAATAGGAAAATGTTGATGTGCAGATTACTGTTAAGAAAAGAAAAAGATCCTATGCAAGTAGGACTAAACTCAGTGGCACGACAACCCATAGAGGGCCAAGGCCTATTGTGCCCATCTCAGTTTTCTTGACCTTAGGTTCTGGGATGCAGGAGCAGATGTTCTGGTCAGGTGGTCAGCCGAACGCGGAACCCCCAGTGTTTAGTTCCCAAGTATGCTTGGTACTCATTAATCGACCCACTGAAGGGATGAAAGGCTGAGTCAACTTTGCCCGGCCCGAGGATCGAACCAGGGACCTGTGGCATGACAGCGCTACCGCTCAGCCACCGGGCGTCATGCAAGTAGTATACAACTATAAATTAATCAGTTACATACTTTAATTATTTTAAGATTGATTAAATTTCCTAAACAAAGTTGAAAATTGTACAGAGATGAGAATTGTCAGATAAGGTAAGGAGTTATAAATAACGACTTAAATAGTAAAACCTTGTTTTGATTCCGTGTAAGCACAGCTTTTGAATTTAGATTGGCTCTCCTCAACAACCTAGAAGTAAAAACACTTAGATTAAATAAAATTTTGAAAATCTACACACCAAAACAAATAATTTACATCAGAATATAATTTCAGGAACTAAGATGAAATCTGAATGATTTGTGAGATAGACCTTAAATAGGCTTAATAATTAGTGAAAAAAATATTTTAAGCTATAAAATTGAGCAAAAAAAAAAAAAAAAAAAAAAAAAAAAAAAAAAAAAAAAAAAAAAAAANAAAAAAAAAAAAAAAAAAGCCATCAAAATAAACAAAATTTTTTTTTTGGACAAATTATTCAGATTTTTGACCCACGACAGAATGAAAAAAGCAGGGCGTATAATCAGACTTTTCAATAAAAAATAAGCACCTTTTAAGAATCCCTTTCCAAAAAAAAAAAAAAAATCATAGTTAGGATTTGTGGAATTATAAAAATAACTTTTCCTATCGTTTAAAGTTTTTAATTTGTAAACATAAAATCAATAAAATTCAAAAATGTTTTAAAAAACTTTACATTATCACGATTAAATAACTAGTTTTTCAAATATTGAAGAGGAAAGTGTGAAAAATCATGCATTTTTTGTAATTTAGAACGATAATTGACATGGCAAAGAAAATATCTCTTTTTAAAAGATAGAAAATTAAGCACTTTTTACAAACCCTGAATAAAAAAAAGCACCTTTAATGGCTTTTAAAAAATGTTACGTGTCCTGCTATTTTCTTTGGAAATGTTCCAAAAAGAGGGAATTGATGCTGAACTACTTAAATTTTTTGAATGAATTTGTTTAATGCCAGTTTATATAAGCATTTGCAATTTTTACCTTGTTTATTACAGCAGCAGCAATGAGACTTTCATAAGAGGACATCACATGTGTAAAGCTGAGAGACTGCATCTGTTGACTCATAGAATCTTCTTCTTCAGGTGTGGACTACAAATAAAGTCATATTTCTAAATAAATATACAGTCTATTGCAAGTCGCAACTTAACTATACACAAGCAAATATTTTTGATGGTTTTCAATTGATGGTCCAACATAATATTGATCAATAATTTCATCATGACCATTATATTTTTTGATAACAGCCAGCATAAATAACTATCACCTCAATGTGGGAATTCGGACTGAATTATGATGGTCCAACATAAGAGCAACTTGTTTTGATGGTTTGTTCATGTTGAACTATTAGAAATTTCCACCATAGTTTCTTAGAAATCGGAACGATCATGAATCACCATCATCCCAATGTAGGAATTTGGACTGATTTATAATGTTTCAAAATAATAATAATAATAAAAACAATTGATTTGATAGTATGTTAGTGAGAACCAACAATTCCCGTTAAAACAATCATGGAAATGTATAGTTGGAACCACCATAGACTGTCATGGATTGTTGGTCCATGAGAATCAAACTTCTCTTGATGGCTAACCATCATAGTATTAAAGCAGCATTTTCCATCATGGAATGATAGAAGTTTGTTGGCATAACAAAAATCATGAATAGATAATGTTAAATGTTGGATGATAGTTACTATCAATTGATGTCGGATTATCATGAATCTCACTGAAACCAACATTAAGCATCAAAATTTTTTGATAGGACCATCAAGAATTTTGATTTGGGTAATCAACTATCAAAGAAAATATAATTTAATGATTAAAAACCAACATGAAACTTAGTAGTAATAAGCGTAAATCAGATATAAACCTAGATTCATAAACATGCATGAGGGACACACTACTCACAAACATTTGTCTAGAAATCACAACTCAAATGTAATTTTTGTCAACGAAAAGCGTGTATTTCTTAACATAAATTAAAATATTCCACAAAATATTATATTTTAATAAAATGGATAAATGGAAATAAAATATTATATTTTAAAAACATTTTATACTTTAATAAAATGTGACTGTGAGTGGGAATTTTGATACATATGCAGATATTCGGAACACTTTGAAATTGGGGTGGTAAATTCCATTTTAAAAAATGAGATTTTTCTGCAACCTAAACCAATAACTATCCATGATTTAAAAAAAAGAAAGAAAAAAAAGTAAAAATCATGAAAAATTTCGTTCAATACCGAAATCCATGACTTTCCAGGTGCGCGGTTACCCTGCTAATATCTAACACGAGTTGTGTTCAGTTATGATGATACCAGGGCTCTAAAAACCACCCATCGTCGGCGGTCAAAAATTCCCCGTGGACAACGAATTTCTCGAATCCGACGCTCGCGAGGATGGCCATTTTCCCGTCTTGACCTTTGCCATTTAAATTATTTCATAATTTTTTTTTTTTTTTCATAAAAGAAATACTTGGTTACTATTAGTAATCTAGTATTTCTTTTATTATTGTATAATGTAAACCTAGTAACTATATATTCATTGTGCAATTTATATAAATGTTTGTAATAAATAAGAGAAAATTATTTTTTTATTTATTTAGAAGCTACGGGTTAGTTTCAAAAGAGGACGGGTACATTGTTGGACAATCCGTCCTTGGGGACGAGTAAAATTTCTGAGTTTTTTCGAGCCCTGGATGATACAGTAGGGAACCGATTATCCGGAACGATTGGGACCATCGCTATTCCGGATAACTGATTTTTCCGGTTTTCTGAATCGCTACAAAAAGCAGTTTTTTTTATGGTTGAACCCAACTAAAAAAAAATTTTTTTTTTTGGAAATAATCTTAAAAAGAAGAAAAAACGATTAAGTAATACACTAATGATTATTTCCAAAATGATGGTAAGGTGAACATCTTTCAAAAAAGAAAGAAAAATCCTAAAATCTTATGAGGAAAAAAACATTTTTTAAAAAAAATGTCGGGAAAATGTATCGAATTTCGTTCCGGTTTTCCGATTTCCGGATAACGGGTTCTATACTGTACCATCAAAAAAGTATGATGGAGCTTGATGAGACCTTATGATGGTGACAAACATATTCATGCAGGTACATCAAAGGAAACCGCCAAAAATTTTCTTCTTGGGAAAGGATGTTGTTTAGAATCAAGTACTTTAAAACTACTCCATTTTTCTTCAAGTTGTTCCTGGAACCAAAAATAACCTTTAAAACCTGCCCAAAAATAACAATGAAACTTAAAACTTACCTCCAGACAAGGAATATCTTGACACTCATCGACAAGAGCAGCAATAACACTTTTAAGTGCAGCATGAGCTGTAGTAGGAGTGATGCCATTCTCATTTGGTAAATCTGAAAAATTCAAATAACTCACAAAAAAATTGTAGAAGTTTCTTAAGTTATTGGTATGTGCATTAGGCACAAGATGAAACTTGAGTGTTATATCAAACGGAAGATGTTACCAAATTCCATGTAATGTACCCTAGGTCATGTTATCAAGCTGCAAAAAAGGTCTCCAGCAAAGAAAAAAACAAAGTAAGGTCCATGTGGGGAGAGAAGTTATTGTCAATGTATCGTCAACATTCATCTATGAAACAGTACTCCAATATAGAATTAAGTTTACACGTCTTATATGATAGTGAATTGGAATTGTATTTTTGTAATGGTAGACACAGTACAGTACTCTGCCACCAGAATTTTATCTGTGATAGAATTCGATGAACGGGATATCACTAGTTGATTTATTGCTGTTTTGTGAGAAGCCAGGAGAGCTGTATTAAGATCACCATACTTTTGAGAGCTTATCAAGAGAACTGTATTAAGTTCAAGTTTGTGGTTGCACTTGTGCTGCCTTTAGCAGTGGTATGTATATGTTGTGTGTGATCGAGACCGAGTAGCAACAGTGCAAGGAGGTAGACAATATCGAAGTCACAAGTAGAAAGTCAACTGTTGAATGCAGATCATCCATCGAAGTAGGAGTGTTCAAATTGAAGTGGGAGTTTCTGTCAAGGTAGGCATGTTCAATTCGTAGTGGATGTTTCTGCCAAGGTAGACGTATTCCCATCACGTCCAGGTCACCAATGTGTGGAAAGGAATTATCAACAACATTAACCTCCGTCTATGAAAAGGTACCGCACCATAGAATCGAGTTAACATGTCTTACATACTAGTGAATTGGAATTATATTTTTGTAGTGATAGATACACTAGTGACATTAGTGTTACTAGCTGACAGTGTGGTAAAGATTATGAATAAAATACCACCCTACTCTAAACTGTATACAATCTAGCACAGATTTAAGGAATTCCGTAATATCAGAGTACACCATTTTGTCTATTATTTGTGTTAATTAAGAGATGGTGCTGCCTCCTTCCTAAAAGGAGTTAATCCTATTCTGATTGGCAACGCATAAGGTTGTCTGGCCTAAGATTGTTTAAATTCTATTTTTCCTAATATGTAATAAAATTTTTAAGTTTCATTTTGGAGTTTTCTTTATAAGTTCATATTATTTCCTTAATAAGTTTCAATTGAGCCGCTGTTACTACAAATTCTATAAAAGCGCTTACAATAGGAAACATTTACTACTTACTGTGAAGAGCCTTTTGTAGAGCTCTTGATAAATCTTCTATAACTTTAACAAGTTTAGGTTGGTATTCAGAAAACAAGTTTAAATCTGATAAAAAAAAGAGCAGAAAATACTTTTTTACAAATCAAATTCTAATTAATAAATGATGAGAAATGCATTTTTTTTCAGAATTTATTCATTAAGATAAATCTTACATTTCAAGAAGAATTGAAATAAATAATAAACCCACTTCCCTTATATAAATCAGAAAGAAATTGTAAATTTCAGTAGCATTTGGTTGAATTTTACAAAACTTCGAAGATATGAGAATAGTTTTTTTAAAATTGGAATTAGAAGTTTAAAGTAGTTTTTGGCAACACATCAAGTTATATTCCGTTAGAAATTTTTGTTTCATTAAGTAAGCTCATACATAATTCACTAATTATGGTTCCCTAAGTTTTCAAAACAAAATTTTCTATCTTAAAAAAAACAAACAAACAAGAATTGTTTATTTTTGAGCACTATCAAAACATTTGATATAATTCTCATTGAACTAGAGTTAGCCAAAATGAATCATATAATGCACAGGAATGAAAGCTCACACATTATCTTCATTAACAGATTTTGCTCTCCACTAGTTTTGCCAACATCATTATTATTTTTAAAACCAATAACTTGAAACCTATAACTCATAATAGCCAAAATATCTTGAAAATTCCTTCTGCTTAAATTGTAATACCAATTAAATAAATTGTAAAATCAAATGAGTAACACCTAGAAGCCCAAATTTCAAATTTTTTTAGTTTTATGATATTCTTGCACATTCAAGATATTTTGTCACACTTTAATTGGTTTTAACCCTTCTGATTTGTATTTAAAGTAATGCCAAGGATTCAGAAGAATATCGCCAAAAGGTAAACGTAGAACTTCAGAGAATTCATGCTAAGTAGTAAGTTTGTTTAGGCGAACACACAGCTGGTGGCTAGAAATATTTATTTAAAATTCATAAAAACAATACATTTTAAAAAACTCGAAAAGACATCCACACCTTAAAATCTGCACCAAAAAAGTTAGTATCTTAATACATATTTGTATAATGTATGATATACAGGATAATGGTATAATTCGGAAAAGGTAACCAGGGGTGATTGTGACATAAAGTGAAAAACCCTGAAAATTTTATGAGCAAAAACCCGATAACAAGATATCAATTTATATACTATTCATATTTAATGTAATTTTTTGAGCTAATATTAATGATTAAATAAATTTTCAATGAAACACACTTTTATAGTAACTAATTTAAGAAAAAATTTAGTTCTTACAAGAATCGCGCTATTGCATTTTAAGAACACAAAATCACAATATTGGATTTAGGAAAGCGATAATACAAATAGCAATATAGGAATTTTGAAATACGTAAATACCAATCGTGATACATGATTTTCAGACTATGTGAATATGACTAGCGACATTGAGATTTCAATTCGAATCGCGATATTGATTTAAAAAACATGTAAATACACATGACGATGTTGGATTTTTTAACATCGCGAATATGAATTGAGATGTAAGATTTTTAAATTGCCTGAATACAGTTCAAAATGAATGATTTAAATCAGGTCAATATCGGACTGATGTTCGATATTAAAAGTGCGTGAATATGAATTGCAATACAAAAAAAAAAAAAAAAAGAAAGGCAAATTGCAGAAGAGTCACCTGGTTTGTTAATGCAATTTAGCTAAGGTTTCAAAATTTACATTTCAGATTGTTGATTGTGGAGAAAATTTCGGTCGATTATAAGTTTTGATTTGCAGAAGTCCGCTAATCAATTGCCTTAAGATATGCGGAATTCTTAAAAATAATAAATAAATAAAAAAAATAACACATGCCCTGCTCCAAGTTTCTAGACCTGGAGAGATGATGCGAAAAACCCGGTATTCCGGGGTACATCCGGAATACAATCACCCCTGGATAACACTCATTAGATCAAATATCCACGAGTGAAATATTTTTAAAAGATGCCCTGAATTATTCAAAATTTGGCTACCCTAATCACAGGACTGGGGTGGAGGCAACTTCAAAATCTTAAATAGGTACTGCCATATTTTTTATTACCGAACTACATTCTCTAGAAAAAAGTAAGCAAAGTTTGCAAATAAATTTTTACATTTTGGTTCATAGCTCATGCAAATCGCCCAAAATAGAGATCTTGAGACCAAAAAAATAAAATAAATTATGTATTTGATATTTTGAAAATCTTGTCTAAAAACACCAAACAGCAGGGTGAGGATAGAATTTGAATCTCTGAAAACATCTTTTGAAAACATTTCACATGCATATTTTAAAATCTTTGATGTGATGCACATTTTAAAAAAATTGGCAATTTCTATACTTTTCAAACACCCTAAAGAGAGTAATAACTTTTGTCAAAGAGAAAGAAAATAGTATCCTATTCTATGTATACAAAATGTATCCACTTATTGAATACTTACAAAGTATAGAGTTTGGATATAGTTGATCTACAAAAGCATCCCCAAGGACACCACCTAAAAGACCTTCCAATATTGTTTCAATGCTATCTTGAATTTCATGCAATTCTTCTTCATCCCCTGTTTCCTCTTCACAATCCCCTTCAGATAAAGATATGAGGAAAACAGTTAGGTATTTTATTGAAGAGTTTAAGAAAATAAAGCTTTAAAACCAGTTTTTATATAATTTTTCCAATAAAAAGTACCTATAATTTCTCAGTTACTCTCGCCTACTTAAAATACATGTATCAAACTACCTGGTTCTACTAAGGATCCCAGTGTTCAAAATTAAGAAAATTTTCAGATTTGGCTGATTTTCTTCTGAACTGAGACACATTTTAATAAAATATAGTTTAGTCATGGGCTGAAATCACATAAAAACGAATAAACTATTATCCGACAGCACTATTAGTAGTAACAATAAGAAAACAATAAATTTAGCAGAACATTCAGGGGTCTGTTTAGGAGAAATTTGGGTCCATTAACAGATCCTTAACAAAATATCTTTTCATAAAAACGGACCCTTTACAAATTTGTTTATCTTATTTGTTATCTATTTGTGTTTTGTTAATAATCGAATAAACAATTCCCAGGGGNAAGATAGATGGATGTAAATGAATTAAGTTTTGTCTTCTGCGGACGCTTCTTTCATTATTCGTCCGAAATGAATATTCTGCGTTCAGCAGTATAGGCTAAATACCAAATATTTGTATGTTGCATCTCTAATTTAGTAGCAGCAATTGCTGTTTATTTTTGAAAATTTAACTTTTTTAAATTATAATTTTACAGTGTTGAGCATAATCTTGTATCTTTTTACAATTTAAAAACTCCTTGAAAAAGTTTTTAGTAATAACAGGACCCTATTTGCAGAAATTCATAAAAGCAGGACCCTGGTTGAAAGAATGTGACTTAACGTTTATTTTATATTCACAAATTACGAGTAATTTTTTCACAATTTTACAAAAACAGGATCTTTCACAAAATGTCTGGACAGTCCTCTGACATTTGTTTTCCATTCTGCATAGTATAAAAAATTCATATAAAAAAAAACATCTTACTTCAAACATTGATTCCAGGAAGAAAATAAAGATAAAATTAATTTATCAAATCAATGATCAAAAGGAAGAGGATATTTACGCCACCCCTGGCAAATATGTAGGGTTTTAAATATCAGAATATAGTGTTTTTGGCCATGTTATTGTGCACAAATATGCATTTGTATTTTTGTTAGCACACACAAACTTTTAAAACTAGCTATCAGTAATCAGAAGTACAATGACAAAGAAATATATAGTGTTTATCTAATTCATTTAAACAAAAGTTTAAGGTATACAGCACACACAAAAAGAACCACCCGGAATAACTTTTGATCTAATGATCAGATTTTCATGTGCCAGGACTCAATCCTAGGTGGAATTCAATTTCTGAATATAGAGGTTAGCCGCAATATAGGAAATATGGTTCCAATAGTTTGGTCAGGAGAGCGCTATAACGTTTGGACCCCTTAACATTAATTTTACTTTTTTTTGCATATTTCACTATGCCTTGAGAAATTTTGAAACAAATTATAACATTTTAGGACACAATTATAAAATTCTTTATTCCAGAGATAATTCCATGCAAACTATAACTTTTAGTAAATAGTTATTATTTTATTTAAGAATGGTAAAAAAAATTGAATTATAAGGTATACAATTTCATGCATCATTTTAAAGGAGCTAATTTTATATGGCAAAATACAAAATTTGAGACAAATCATTCAAATATTTCCTGAGAAATTGAATTTTAATTATCTGACTTTTTTTCGTACATTTTGAAATTTCTTTTTTAAAATTTGAAGATAGACATTTAAATTGCTCCAAGATAGAAACCTTAAAAGGATAAAATTTATGTTGTTTTGCATAAAACTTAATAACTTTTAATCCTATTACACAGGGTTTAATTTCATCCACAAAATTTTAATCGAAAATTTGTTCACAGGAAAATATTGTATATTGTCTATAACAACTTGAATTGGCCATTATAAAATCAGAGTTTTTTCTAAACATTAAGTTAGTTCCTTAATTTTCTTGAAGTCATTAAATGTAAAATTTTTATTTTTCATAGTTTTATATTACTTTAACATTAGTAGTATTAAATTACATATTATATTAATGCATTAATACATTTAACTTTTTTTAAAGATTAATACTTGAATAAATGACAGTAAGTAAGTCTAAAACTAATAATCAATGTTTACTATGATTTTTTTAGGAATATTAAAAGATGATTTAAATGATAACAAAATTATTTAAAAGCTAGTCTTAAAATTAGCCTTATTTTTCTCTTGATAAAATGTTGAACGTTATGTTATACATTGTTTTAAATTTTTATTTTTCATAATTCTAATCAGAGGTAAGTTTAAGCAGACTTAGGTTCAGTTTGTAAGGGTGGTTTCTGAACTCAGTTGGAAATTTCATTATTTTTACAGTATGAGAGCTGATGTTGAACAAAGAAATTATAAATAATTTTAAAGACAAAATTGCATAACAATGGTTCTTCCAAACTTTTAATTAATGAAAGTATACATGAAATAGTTTTAGCTTAAACTAATATTTATGAGAAAGATTTGTTCTTCTTATTAATCATGAAACTTAGAAAACGTTAAAAATAACATCATATATCATATTTTTCATATATTTTTTTTATAATAAAATGATATATTGAGTCTGCAAGAGCTATCCTAAAGAAAAATTCTACATACATCATGTATATGAAACTAATAATATTTAGTACCTGTCATCTTCAGATCTTTATTCAAAGATTGAGAGCTTAAAAATTTCATCAAAGGAAAATAGTCACTGGTGGTTCCATAGCCTGAATCATTCTCACTGTCAGCTAGGTTAAAATAAAAAATATTAAAATAGAAATAAACTGTAAACAGAATGAAGCTTTAAAGTTAAAACCGTACAGCTACATGTACACATTTAATGACGTATAATTCATACTTACAAACACAATATCATTAGAAAGAATTGTTTAATATTAATAAAAGCTCAAAGCAACGTTGCAAACATACTTACAAGTTGAGAAATAAAGTTTAGAATTTAGATCAAATATTTATACTAAATTACATATTATTATGTCATGAACTGTATACAGCTACATATTATTATACATTAACTGCGTACAGCTACTTGTACACATTTAATGACCTATAAATCATACTTACAAACACAATGTCATTAGAAGGAACTGCTTAACATTAATAAAAGTTCAAAATAATGTTGTAAACATTACTTTGAACATTACTTTTTATTGTGAGAAAAAAGAATTTAGATCAAATATTTATACTAAATTACATGCATAGAAAAAATTTGAAAATTTCTTTAATTTTTACAAAACAGACCAGATTAATAACAAAAACTTATGAAATCTAATTATTTGTATTTAGTTGCATACAAATGCAATTTTCCAGTAACATGTTCTTTAATACGCATTTTACAGCCTCAACTAGTTAACAATTTCGATTGATATCAGAAGTAAATTTCTAAAGTTTTATCTTGGATTAAGAATTTTAGTCTTCAACATTAGAAAAAATTAAAAATTTTAAATTTATCTAAATTATTTTTTGCTGGCTCAAATGTTTTAACTTGGTTACACAATTTGTAATACATTTTGAAATTCAGTAATCTGAATGATATTGTATATCTTTATTTTTGACAATGCTCAGTGCTGGCTCAGGGGATAGAGCATNCCATGAAATTGGGTCGGCTGTTCAACGACGGTTATAAAATAAAATAAAAAAATGCTCAGTGCTGGCTCAGGGGATAGAGCATTCCCATGCCAACGAAGTGAACAGGGTTCAAGCCCCAGGGATGACTGGTCAATTCTAATTCTGAACCCGGCTTGCACTGACCACAGAGCTGATGTAAAATATCCTCAGTAGCAGACAGATCATGGGTTAGAGTCCCCTTGTCATTAGGCTAACCATTTCTCCCTGTACTTGACCATTCATTCCAGAAGACCAATGGACTTCCATTGTCTTCTGGACTGGGTTCAAAATTACAAGGCTACGGAATTGAACATGAGTAGTCGTAAACCCAAAATTGGGTGAGCTNAGTTTTTTTTTTTTTTTTTTTTTTTAACCCTTAGGCGATTCTGTGTGTTAAAAGCTGTTTATTTGGACCGCATTTTCCATTTTCCTTCTTTTTTTGCATACCTTAATTACTGTCATTTTAAGCAGATTACTTATTGAAAATTGATAGATTTGTACAGAATATAAGCCTTCATGGACAAAAAAAATGTATTTTATTGACGCTTGAAAATTTGAACAAGGTATAGGGAGAGTGTGAGCTAATAGTAGGAATTGAAAAAAGAATTTTATTTGAAAAAGTCAAAAAACAAATTGGGAAGATATTAGTTGTAGTATGGAATTCAGCTCAAGACTGATTTCAGTTCTCAGGACTGAAGAGTAGCACTCGTGGAATTAGGATGACATTTGCTATAAAGTACAACATACAATTCATATCTTAAAGCATGTCTTTAACGTCCTCATTCACATATGTGGATCTTTGCTTCTTAGCTTTTAAAAGCAAGCTATAAGAAAATGTATAGTTTTACATTCAATGAATCACTCATGGACATTTAAACTTTTCAGAATTCCAATAGATGCAAAACATGTCCTGTGGCAGAATTTGTTTGGGCTTTCTGCGACAAACCTCTCTAGCACTAATATCTTTCTGCAAGATACTTTTAATAATAACTAATATATATGTTACTAATTAAATTTAAAGTAACAGAAACATTGTATTCACAAAGAAAAGCCTATTTGGGTAAAATAAAATTGCATGTTTTTTTTTTTAATGAATATGTAATATTTCTTTTTAATTTTAATCATATCAGGCGATATTGTCACATTTTGCAAGAGGAAAACACATGAATTATTTCGTTTTTTGCATTTCGTAAATCATCATCACATAAAAAAATAATGAAAAATCTGTGAAAGAAAAGAAAATCGAAATAAAAAAATCACTTTAAAATTAATCATTCACGCTAATATTAATCATTTCTTCCCCTCTGGAAGGGAAAAAAAATTTCTACAGAAAAGAAATTTTTTGCTTCAATATTCTTTATTCTCAAATACGAATCAAAAAATTAGGAACATTTCTTTCCGCTCCAATGCGCAAAAAGGCATCTTTTAAATATAATTTAAAAAAAAGAAAAAAGAAAACCAAATTTTTTTACTTTCTAAAGAAAAATTCTTTCGGCGAGAACTCTGTAACATTCTGCGACATCGTCGCTGTGATTCAGCCACAGGGAAAACATGCAAGTTAGTCGGGTAGAATTTCCCATAAATAGAAGTGATTTTCAAAAAAAGGTGCTAAATCCACATGCTTGAAAACATAATTTTAAATATTATATAATTTAGTTATTCTGAAAATAATTTTTTTTTCTTCTTTTGACTAAGTAATTGTGAGATTCATATGAAATTTTCAAATTACTATTTACTTAATATTTAAAAATAATACAGTCAAGAACATACAGCTGCACATATGTGTAACTAGGCATGTATGGCAAAATTTATGACTGTATGAAGTCTAAAAATATTGTTAAAAAATATCTGGCTAACAAAAGCATGAATAAACTAAACAAAACATATAAAGACATAAATTAAAAATAAAAGCAGGAAACAATTTTTAGAACAACAGAGAGTTATTGATTTTTTAGAAAATAGTTTTTGAATTTGAAGTTTATACTAACCTGTTACGGGTTTTTCTATATTTTTTGCAAGATTATTACTATCCAGTTGCGGGTATTTTAATTTCGTTACTGTATTTGTTGTTGTGAAATAAATGTGTGTTGTTTATGATTCATTACAACAGCACAGTACTCAAGTGAAATCTCATAGTATTTAATTTTATATCTATTTACTGATATTTTTATGGATATTATAATTGTTTTATATTAATGTACATCTGTACATTTAATAACTAACTTTTTGTGTTTTTTTCCCACAATTTTGAAAATTTACCCCCAAGAATTAAATATATTTTTAAAATTGATGTTAGATTCTTTTAAATAATTATTTACTTTGCATGGTTTCATGATTAAAATAGCTTTCAAACTGAGATTTAATGCAGTATTGCATTGTACTTAAATAAATAATTAATCAAATAATTAAAAGATAAATAATTTAAATAAGTTGTTGTAGTTCATCTACGTCGCACTAGAACTGCACAATGGGCTATTGGCAACGGTCTGGGAAACATCCCTGAGGATGATCTGAAGACATGCCATCACACTTTACGGCAGAACAGTTTAACGAGGACTAATACCCCACACCCTCGGTCCCTACGCAGACTGATCCAAGTGGTCACCCACCCGCACACTGACCGCAGCCAATGATGCTTGACTTCGGTGATCTGTTGGAAACCGTGTCTTAACAATCAGTTCACTGCGGGACATAATTTAGATAAATAATTTCATCATTTTACTTAAACAGCCCACAATATAACAATATGCATGTTTGTTCCTGCCTTAGGTAGAATTTAACAGTTTAAATATTTATGTTCTTTCACTTAGTTAAAGCCTGAGGTCCATTCATGTGTACCTAAAATTATTATCCTCCTGGCAGTATAATTCATATTTTGTTTTTCATATTATGACTTATGGCAATAAAACAAATTCAAAACTGTCAAATATATTTTTTTTTCTATATTCTTTCTTACTTCAGCAGTGAAGAAGTTAATTTAATTATTGATATACTGAAATGCATTTTTAAAATCGAATTTTCGTACATAAGATGTCGATTTACAAACATAATTTCATTAATAGTATATATTTCTTAGTTACAAATATAATTTACGATTAAAAATTCATTATTTTAAAACAGCTAGGCAAAAAAAAAAAGGGACTTACATATTCTTCTAAAAAACATAACTTACATATTCTTCTATGTCTCAAAAAGTTTTGCAGTGACTTAGCAGCATTGAAGTTTCCAAAATTAGCTTTTATACGGCTGCAAATCCAGTCACTTGAGGCAGCATCCAGAAGCCTATAGATATATATAATATATTATTCATACATTATTATGTACAATATATTATATAGATTTAATAAAACATATTCACACAAAAAAATATTAACAGATATTCATAGAGATATTCTTTCAAAAAGCTAGTTATTTAAGTAAAATTTCCCTGTGAATAAAGTTTGATTGAGTGAAAGGAAAAAACTTATTGATATTTCTTATCTTTTTAAAAACTTATTGATTTACGTAAAATGAAAACTTTCGTTTTAGTAGTTTAATTACATTGGTGATTATTTATTTAGAGTAATATGTACTGTAATTTTTTTTTTTAGTGAAAATCTATCAATTTAATGCTTGAGATTTGCCCAAAATAAAAACAGACTTAACCAAAAAGGCGGTTTCTGTAGCTAGCTAAAAAAAAAAAAAAAAAAAAAAAAAAAAAAAAAAAAAAAAAAAAAAANAAAAAAAAAAAAAAAAAAAAACTGCTGATAGCTTTGCTATTTGAAATGTGAGTTTTTGTAAAATTTTCACTTTAAAAATTTCACCTAAACTTCTAAGATCCCCTTAGAAATTTTTACAAAAAGAATGCACTGACAACTGTCTTTTGTGATTTTTCAAAAAAAAGTATGTTAAATATTTTTAACCAAAGGAGGAAAGATTAAGAATATTTTTAAGTAGGTTTTTTGAACAATGTTTATGTATTTTACTTCTGATTTTCACATTTTTTATTTCTTTTCCTGAACTTTTGACAAAACCTTTGGGGTACAGAGAGAGCAATTTTTAGATATTTGCCGTGCTCTCTCGATAGAAAAGGTTATGCGCTTTTATGACTTCTGGAGCTGGTAACGATGTCAGCTTTGGTTGTCATTTTTATATTTTTCATTGTTCGCTTATTTAAAATTTTCGATTGGTTTCAATTTTCTTATGAAATTTCTTCTGCATTGCACAACTTTCCTTTAGAATTGCAATATTTAACTGCTTTATACATGGTTTTTAATTTCTCTTTTTATTATTGTTGTGGTCTGAATAAACATTTGATTTATATGATCACCTTGATGATTAGATTTTTGTTATCTTTTTTCAATTAAAAAAAATCCCACTTGTGTTAAATACAGAGTATTTATTGTGTTGTTAAAGCGTGCATCATTCTTGTTTCATAACATGCGCTGTCCAAATTAAGAGATACCGCTGTCCGAAATATTTCATACTAGCAATATCATTTTCTTGACTTTCTTTGCAAAGATAAGGGATAACGACAAGAGAATGATGGTTAGTAGTAAAATAGCTTAATATTTTTAGTCATGGACAATGCAAAGAATTTCCATTATTTAAAAATGGTAGAAAGTTGCATATTTTTTTCCATGAATTTTAAAACAAATATATATATATATATTTCAAATTTAGAAAAATTGGAATCCGGTCTAAAGAGATAGAAAACTTTTCAGCGCTGAAATCAGGCATGTGTTTGCTGGAAGAATTTATCTGAAATTTTTTTCTTAATGCATATTTTTTTTAAAAAAAAATTCTTAATTTTTTAAACTTTCTATACATTGAGATAAATAAAAGACTATCATTAAGTATAAGGGAAACATCTAACAAATTTAAAGAGGTAAAAAAAAAATTATATATAAAATTTTTTTCTTATCAATGCAGTGAAACCTCTTGTTATGGACACTCCTGTAAAACGGACGCCTCTCAGTACGGAGATATTTTGAATTCCCTGTGAATCTTCTATGAGTAACCCCTTATGTACACTCTCGTAACCGGACATGGAGAGATCATTTTTCACTGAAACATTATTAGTGGAAGAATCACATGGCTGGTAAATGACGTCCCCTATGGGAGTATTCACTTTGTGGAGAAGGTACATAATGGCTTATTTATAGAAGTTTTGAGAGGAATTAAAAGTATGTCCGTAATGAGAGGCGTTCGTTTTGTGCGAGTATAGTAGTGTCTATTTTGTAGTGAGGTTTCAATATGCCAATTAAACAAACAGATGTGTGTTGAACTAGTGAAAAAAAAAAGTGAAAAGATACTAACTTTTGTTTTTCACAAACATTACACAACCATTGATTGGATAAATGATCCCAAGCAGCACATGATCGGCATACCCAGAGCTGGCAATTTTGGCAAAGTAGTTTTCTTTTAAATAATAAATTGAAGGCTAAGCAGCAGATAACACAATTTTTTTCATTAAAGCTTTTCTTTTTGGCCCATACATTCCTCTGTGCAATCAAATCAACCAGTTCCTCATGCAGCTTGCTAGAACAGAAATTATTAAAATCATTAATACTCGCCTTTATTGGTAAAATATTTTAAAAAATTTGCTAGTAGAGAATATTCTGCCCATCTCTGTCAAACTATTTGCAGGGTATCTGCTACATTTTAGATTTTCAAATTCATGACTAATTCCAAGAACTTTTCACGACTTAACGAAGTTACTATTGTCTCCGACAAAAACACAACAATAAATTTAAAAAAGCATTTTAATAACATTAATTGAAATGATAGGTGTAACCAAAACTGTTATACTCTACATCTTCATAGTTATAGATTTTAAATTTAAAAAACAGAGTAAGAAAAAAAGAGTTTCTTTTTCTCTGCAGAATTACATGCTAAAGACACTTTTCTTGTTCATCGGAAAAGAAAGAAATACTCCTGATTTTTCTGTTATCATTTTGGAAATTAAAAAAAAAACAGAACAAATAATAACAAAAATTCTGAAATCACAGAATTTTAAGAGATAATTCGCTCTAGAAATGATGTTTTTCCTTTCATTTTTCGAAAGAACGCCATAATTTCCAAAGAACATGATAAAAACATTTTATATTTTAATAAAATATGACTGTGAGTAGGGTTTTCGTTACAAATTTAAATATTCGGAACACCATGAAATTCCATTTTAAAAATTAGATTTTTCGGCGACCAAAATCCATGACTTTCCCTGATTTTTTTTCTTCTTAAAAAAAAGTTAAAATCATGACAAATTTAGTTCAATACCGAAATTCATGACTTTTCATGATTTCTGATACCCTGCATATACTGAGTCCTACAGCTAGTTACATGAATGAAAGCATGTCCATCATGAAAAGAAAAGAAAGAAAAATAATTATAGGCAAACCTTAAATTGGTATTTTCTCTCTGTAACTGATCAAACTCATTTTGTATAGAATCTAGTACACTTCGGCATTCAAATGCTGTAATAGAAGCTAGTTCAGATTTTCCCATGCCTTTAAAAATACTACCTTCTTATTTCTAGAATTGTAGAAAAAATAATTAGTAGAGCACTTTTAGACAGAAGTAAAGAAATGTTTAAAATATTATAAAGATTGAAAACAAATGTAACTGAGAAGAGAGAGGAAGGGATGAGTAGGCTGAAGCTAGAGACAGTAGTAGAGGTTGGATTCTCTTCCGAGCAGGACCATTTCGTCGCTGCCAATATGTTTTGGATACATATTTCTTATATATGTTTAATTTAGAACTGTGATGTGCTGCATATCCTTAATAAAAAAATCAAGCAGCCGAAGCTCTTTGTGATGTGATTTAATTTCATTAGATCATAAATTATCCAACCAGTCACGACGAAGGGGGGAAGAAAGTTTATTCATATGTTTCTGATTTATTGCAAAACTGCATGACATAAAGATTATACTTTGCCAAAAATATTAAATACAAAAATTAATATTAAATATTGCGAATGAAAACTTGTGAATGACCCTTCTATACCTGTTGGAAAATTTCATTATTTATTAAGTTCTTACTAAATCTTAGAAATTGTACTAACTGTCCAATTCTGTTAAAATTTTAAAATTGGATTATATAATTTGTAATTAAAACTTAATATTTTTACTTAAAGAAATCTTTAAAAAATTCTGTGACAATAAGAAATATTGACTGGGTTGAAATCATTTTAAATGAACTGTACAAATAGATTTATGAACTATTCAGAAAAAAGCAACTTCCATGACACAAGATTTGCTTTATTACGGCTTAAAATTTTTTTTTTACATGCCATAGAGAATCAGATATGCTGAAAATCATAGGGGCGTGATGAAAAAAAAAGTTGCAACATCCCTGAGAGGTATAATCCTCAGTTGCAAACAGTAATAATAATTGACTAAATTCAACTTTAAAAAAACAATTCTTTTTCTTCTAATTAATAGCAGAAGGAAAAAAGTAAAATAATTTAAATTAAATTTGGCTCAAAAATGTCAAATTTCCTGCCTTTTCCTGATTTTTCAGACAATTTCCAAATTCTCTGACTTTTCCCAGTTTTCCAAATAGCGTAGCAACCTTGTCCTCAGTAGTTCAAAATGCAATTTTAGAGTTGATAATTAAAACTTAACTTTAAATCAAATGCCTTTATCAAATAAGGACTGACAATCAAATGGGATACAAAAGCATTACTTAATACCAGGGGTATATCCAGACATTTTGTGAAAGGTCCTGTTTTTGTAAAATTGTGAAATAAACTACTCATAATTTGGGAATATAAAATAAGCGTTAAGTCACATTCTTTCAAACAGGGTCCTGTTATTGCAAAAATTGCTAAAAACTTCTTCAAGAAGTTTTTAAATTATAAATATATACAAGATTTTGCTCAACAATTGCTGCTACTAAATTAGAGATGCAATATACAAATATTTGGTATTTAGCCTAAACTGCTCAACACAGAATATTCATTTTGAGATGAATAATGGTAACAAAATCACTCACATTTTTAATAATTTCAATTGACATATTTTAAATAACACAACTTAGTATTGTATCACTTTTAATGTGTTACACATTAAGTAAATTTAAACAATTCTTAAATTTATAAGATTTTATTTAAAAAATTGCCAGAAATTAATTTTTATTTACATAATATTCTATTAATTAACTGTATGAATATATATAAATTGATCAATTATTTATTTACAAAAAAAAATCATTTAATATCATTAAAAATGTGCACACGATGTTTGCAAAAGTAGAAATATTTTCTTAGAATAGTACATTTCCCACAGGAAGGGTTTATTTGATTAACAAAACAATAATGAAGATAAACAAAATTGTGAAGGGTCTGATTAAAAGATAAATTATTTTGTGAAGGGCCCGTTCTTAGGAAAAGATATTTTATGAAGGGTCCGTTAACAGACCCAAATTTCTTCTAAACAGACCCCTGATTACTTTTAGAAAATTAAGATTTAGAAATGAAATTTTGAGGTTATCATATACATTTTTATGCAAAACCAAAGTTCCTGCCTGACCAATAAAATTTTTTTTGATGTAACGGCAGAGTGGCACCTCAGTAAAGTAGGTTCTTAGAATTAGATTTTGATGATAATTCATTTTAGTAAACTTATTAAATTTGTTTAAAATCCATAGATTTTGATCAACTCATTATTTATTCAGGAAATGTGTGATAATACTTGATGAAGAAAAAAGTTTTTTTAGATAGTTATGCTGCAGCCTTTCTTTTTTTTTTTTAAAAAAAACTCTACTTGGTTTTTTTCTTTTTGGTTATCTGCAAGACTGCTACAATTCTTGATTCATTATTCTTTTTCATTACTAAATTAGCATTATAGTTCTCTAAATACAGAGATTTGATTTCACACGCTAAATAACTTATAATCAAAAAAATTACAGGCCTGATAACATAATTTAGAATATGTAGGAAGTCATAACTTACCTCTTTTACTAAATTTAAACTCATGTTACAGTCTTTACACACAAGAGAAAACTCTAAAAAAATAATAATAAAAGTGAACAGATTACAAATATTAATGATGAAATTCATAAATATAACTAATATATTATAGATACAGCAATCAGAACTTACACGAGTTTTAGATTAAGTTTTAAATTTGAAAAATTAAATAAGTTAGTTCACACGCAAAAAGTAAAGAAGTTGGTATTTGTCATGCTGTTGGCAAACTGTTGCATGTGTTAATCCAGTTTGCCCATGGAGATGATAAAGTTGCCAATTAAAAAAAAGAGCATTGTCCGTCTCTAGTTTGCAAAACTGCAACCTCTGGAATTAGCAATTTGTTGCTTCATACCACTTAACGGTACCGGTACACATGGCTGTCAGATCTATAACGTGCATTATAAATAACTTCTGCGGTATATCAAAGGAACCATATTACGGTCTCTTGCGAGTCCCCTAATTTGTCTACAATTATTTCCATTCATATGGTAATACATTACAATATCTGACAAAGTTTAGAAACTATAGACTAATATTAAGGGAAATATGGAGCATTATATATATGGCATATGAGCAGCAATTTCCTAATTTTAAAGCTTTTATTATTAAAGCACTTAAGCATAAATATGAGTAAATAAAAATAAGAATAAATAAATAGGAATTAAAATATGAAATTTATGGCAGTTTTTGAACTTTTAAAACTTTTGATAAGAAAGTTAACAAAAGGGCACTTTCTAAATTATTTTTTGCTCGTAAATATTATATGGAGCAGGACTGGGAGATATATATTTTTATTTTATAATTGCCGTTTAACAGCCAACCTAATTTTTTGGGTTTACTACAGCTAATATTCAACTCTGAAGCCTTGTAATTTTGAACACAATCCAGAAGGCAAGGAAACTCCTGGATCAAGCACTAGGAGAAATTTGCCTTCGTGGAGGATTTTTTGATGGAACTAACCCGAATTTGCGTCAAGTGGAGAGGGAAACCACGAAAACCTGCTGAGGTTAGCCTGACGGCAAGGGGACTTTAACCCAGGAGTCCTTTACCATGCAACAATTTAATAAGCAAGGATCACGACCAACTGTACTGCTGTTAGTTACCCTCCGATGGTGACTGTATAGTTTTCGTAATGTGGAATGTTTTGATTGTATCCATTTTCCTGCATTTGGTGTGGCAACATTATGTTTATTTTAGTATTTTTTTCAATCAAGATTTAGAAGCCTTTCTGGTAGAATATTTTCAGTTGGATTCTTGTGGTGACTTTGAGATCACTCTGCATAAGTACAATTATTAAAATTACAATTTAATTTAACAGCTAACTGAAACTTTCAATTAGAATCTGTTCTTAATAGAGCTATAAAAATTTGGTAGCTAAAATGCATGAAAAATGTATTTTTTATATTAGAAAAAAACAAATAATGGAATTGATAATAAGTAAATCTTTGACTTTGGAAAACGGCAAATTTGAATTGCAAAAAAAACGAGCTTCATATGGCTATAGGTGATAAAGATTGCAAGCTTTATAATATACAAGCTTTATATATGCCAAATATTTACCACGTTTAATATAGACAGACCACACTGAATAACTTTTGGTCTAATAATCTAACAATTTAGAGGACTCAATTTTAATAGTTTCAGAGGATACCTTCAAGCATGCTAATTAAAAAGTGAAGAGAATATTTTAAGTTAAAAAATCCAACACAGAAAACATACTTTCTCAGAAGACACAAACCTTTTTCTGTGGCGATTTACGTATCATGATCTGTGGCAGAATAATCACCAAGTCTTGGAAGCTTGCAAGCAGCAGCCCACAAGAAAATAAATATAAAAAAATTGCAGAAAAGGACCAATTTGAAGGATATAACTTGTTTTCACCTCTAGCAAACCTCAACATATACTTTCTTTAATTTTTCCTATTTAAAATCAATTTGGAGTCTTAGCCATTGTAGTTGGTGTGGCAGATTACAATACAGAAATATCCTCTTTTTTTTATGGATTTAGATTTAAGAATCCCAAAACATGCGTGTAGCCGTTATCTGGGAAATATGGTCCCACTAGTTCAATAGTGGAACAATTTTTGAATAGTAAGATATCAATTTTTCACATAATTTTAAACAACGTAATTTCATACAGCAAAATACAAAATTTGAGCACAAAACAGTCCAATAGTTTCTGAGAAGCTGAATTTTGAAAATACAAGTTTTTATCATAACGTTTTAAAAATACAACAAAGATTTTAAAAACAAACCTTCTAATTCCCTTAAAGTCCCCAAGAAAGCTTTTGAATGCGGAAGTTATCCTATTTCACTTATATTTTAAAATTAGATTGCATTATTTTCCTCATTTACTGAATGACAGGTTTAGTACGTAGTATTTATAATTAATCAATAATGCAGACGATAATAACGCAAGTCAAACGTAATTTAAGTTTTATTTTAATCAAAACACAAACAAGGAAATTTTTTCTAATAATTAGGGATCATGGAAAACAAACAATATTTAGCGAATGCCTATAATACAACTTCTGAAATGATTAGAATGGTGTTTCTCGGTTCAGACACGTTAATTCTAACTACACAAAACAGAAATACAAATAACAAGAGTAGAAGAGTTAAAAAAAATATTAATATTTGTATATAAAAATAGAAACTTTAATAGAATCCATTGCTGTGAGACTTGAATTTAAATTATCATTACAAAATATTTCCAATAAATATTTGTTTTGTTTACCAGTATTTTGGTTAGTCTTGCTCAGAGAAATGCGATTCGTCGTACGAACGGAAAATGGAAATTAGTGAGGTGTCAAGTGATCCTGAAAAAGTTCATTCGCATGTTTCTCCAACAGAACTTAACAGACATTCTCACTGCATAGAAAAACTTTGTTCATGTAAATTCGGAGAAGAAAGCGCGAAGATAAGCTCTAAACTCGCAAAGGAAAGAAAAATGATGAGACGTTTTTACGATTAGGGAAGACTTGTAAATTCACACTTTCGAATGGATTTTGGTAACGGCCCATGAATAAATCATAATCAGTGGGAATATTTATGATATTAAAGATAGGTAGGTACTTTATTTACGTAACACTAGAGGTGCGCAATGGGCAATAGGCGACAGTCTGGGAACGTCTCTGAGGATGATCCGAAGACCTGTTATCTCAATTTTTAATCTCCGCAGAGGGGATTGCTCCCCTTCTTCATTAGCCAGACGAATAGCACGCAAAAATGCATACATACAATAACCTTAAAATGAAGAAATTCGCAATCAATATTATGTACTGAGAATGAGACATGGCCCTATATCTCTCCTTATTATTGATCTATAATATTCAAATTGGACCACGTATTATATTACCGGGTTATAGTGCACCCTACCAGAGAAAATACTAATTATAGACCACATAGGAGGTACACAATGTAGCCCTGTAGTTTACTATGTATGTATATCTAAAATAGTCTTCTGAAAAGCTATAAAATGAGGGAATTCGTCTTCTAAAGAGCTTTAAAAATTCGAAGTCATTTTTCAATATTAACTAACGCAAGGCCTGATATCAGACCTTAATATTGACCCATAATATTTTAATTGGACCACGTATTATACAGGGGCGGATCCAGCGGAGGGGGGGGGTCATAGGGGACATGACCCCCCCTCCAAATTGAAAAAAATAAAATAAAAGTAATATTTTTTTTTTAATAGTTTGCAAAATAAATACAATATTTTAAAAATTCTTTAAGTATACACCTAGGTAGATCGGAAAAAGCGATTTTCCCCCCCTATCTAATTATGTTCTTCACTGTTTCAAGAATCAGAATCCAAAAGATTAAAACGAAATTCGTCATAGTTTCATTGTAAACATAAATAATGCTGAAGAACGCTTAAACAGGTTTAACCAAAGTTAAAAACGCATTACATTTACGACTTAAAGATTTTGAATACTTGAATTATTTATGTATTGTTCCATTGTTCATTATGAAAAAAATAAACGAGAAGACTAGCATTAAAAATCCCAGTTTTTTTTCAAGAAAAATATTTAAAAAAATTTTTTTTATAAAAAAATTAGTTGTGGGGGGGGGAGTCTGAGTCTATGACCCTCCCCAGAAAAAATTTCAGGATCCGCACCTGGTACTATATTACTGGGTAATAGTGTACCCTACCAGAGGAAATAATTATAGACCTCAAAGGAGATACGCAATGAGGCCCTGTAGTTTACTATGTACGCATATCTAAAATAGTGCGTTCAATCGCTTTAAAATGAGGAAATTCGTCCTCTAAAAACCCTTAAAACGAGGCGTTTCGAAGTCATTTTTCAACATTAACGCAAGACCCGACATCAGACCTAACTACTGATTCATAATATTTTAATTGGATCACGTATTATATTACCGGGCAATAGTGTGCCACACTATAGGAAATAATTATAGACCTCATAGGGGGTACACACTGTGGCTCTTTAATTTCCTATGTATGTATAAATACAATAATGTGTTGAATTGCGTTAAAATGAAGAAATTCGAAGTCAATATTCTGTATAAAAATATGGACCTATATCTCCCTCTAATATTAACCTATAAAATTCAAATTGGACCAAATATTATATAACCGGATCATATTGCACCCTACAGAAGGAAATTATTATAGATCCCATAGGGGGTACACAATGCGTTTCTGTAGTTTACTATGTATGTATATCTAAAATAGCTTAAAAATGAGGAAATTCGTCTTCGAAAGAGATTTAAACGAGGCAATTCGAAGTCATTTTTTAATATTAACGCAAGGCCCGAAATCAGACCTTAAAATTGAACCATAATATTATAATTGGACCACGTATTATATTACCGGGTAATAAATCATCCTACCAGAGGGAATAATTATAGACCTCATAGGGAGTACACAATGCGGCCCTGTAGTTTACTATGTACGCTTATCTAAAATAGTGCATTCAATCGCTTTAAAATGAGTTATTAAATTTATATATTATTATATAAATTTAAAATATTAAAGAAAATATATAAAAAAAGAAAAAATTTGAATGTCCACCCTCGCAGGTTTTCGAACCCATGGCCCCCGGGATAACAAATCTAATTTGCTACACAGCTTTACCAACTGCGCCATGCTTCACGTGCCAACCCTGCGAATATTTGGCTTAAAACTCCTCCTCCCGGTTAGTAAACAAAACTAATTTTAAACCATTGTGGGCCCACTAATTGGTCTATAAAAATATCCTTCGGTAAAATAGTTCGACACATTAAACTCTAATTTTGGGCGGAGTTTGAAATTTATAGATTAATATTATAGGAGGTTGCGGGGTGTGATGTGTGCTGCCTCCTGAAACGACTTTTGTCCCTTTTTCAGTCATTATTCGCTCTTTAACAAAGAAAAATAATTCTTTTCACATATAGAATACTTTATTCGCTTTAAAAGATTGAAAAGAAGTTAAAAAAAATAATATAAATTAAAATAAATAATTAAATAAAAATTATTCGAAATTTATCCGTTTATTAGCTATTATTCGCTATTTCCCAAACAGAAAATAGTTTTTTTTTAATATTCAGAACATTTGATTCATGTTAAAATATCAAAAATAATATTGAAAAAAATAATATAAAAAAACGAAAAATTTTTCTCCACCCTCGAAGAGTTTCGAACCTATGGCCCCCGAGACAACAAATTTAACTTGTCCCACAGCTTTACCAACTGCGCCATGCTTCACATGCCTACCTTGCGAATATTCGGCTTAAAACACCTCCTCCCGGTTAGTAAACAAAACTTATCTTAAACCATTGTGGGCCCACTAATTGGTCTATAAAAAAATCCTTCTG